AGGAGGTAGGATCTTTCATGCTCTTTGAGCAGATGAGGAAACTGAGGCACGGAGAGGTGAATTAACCTGCTCAAGGTCACACGAAGCAGTAAGTGAGAGAGCAGGGACTTGAACCCAGGCTGTGGGTGCCAAAGCCCTTCACTGTGTAATAGCCACACTCTACCCACGTGGGAAGGTCTAATTATATGTCATTGATGGACCCCAAGACTGCTTTACAGCAGTGGTTTTCAGTCAGGGACTATATTTTGCCCCTAGGGGATATTTGGCAATGTCTGGAGATATTTTTGATTGTCACAACTAAAGAGGAGGCTGCTATTGGCGTCTTTTGGGAGAGACCAGGGATGCTATTAAACATCCTACAATGCACAGGACAGCTCTCCACAGCAGAGCTGTCCCCAGGTTTCAGCAGTATGAACACTAACCTTAAGGTTGAGAAACCTGATTTACAGGTTTAGCATGTGTTTTATGCCAGTTTTTTCTTTTTATAGATGCAAGTAATTAGAAGCCTTGGGAATGGAAGTTTTGTTACAGCAATGTCACTCAATTCTTCCAAATTAACTGTTAAAAAGTATACTGCGATCATTCTTCTGAATGATTTATCAGCTGACAATTCCATTAGGTTCTCCTTCAATTTTGTTTAAGCAAACCTTTGAATCACTCACTTCCTCAATTTTCTGGAAGCATACCATAAAGATTTCACCAAGGCTTCTAATATGACTATTAATTACACCCTGGACACTTTCTCTGTGGCATTCTGGTTTAAGCCAAGATCCTCAGAATGGGTGAGGTCAGTTAAGACATTACTAATTTAAACATATCTTCCAGTGTTATATTTTTTATAAAGTGCTTTCATCCTCTAACAAGTTTTAACTTTTCATCAAAACTCTGCAGCTGCAGATTTGACTTGTTTAATTTATGGAAATGTTTGCCATGTAACATAATTGGAAATGCCTGTCTGTTACTGTCCAGTAAAGCAAGCAGATCAGACATGTTTTTGTCAGAAAGAATCCAATTTTATTTTCCAATTCAAATAAGCATGTTAGAATATATTCCAGTGTCATCCATCTTATTTTTTTATTCTCAGTTCTAAGAAAGGTAGACGCGGGTAGATAGATTGGTATGTAGGTAGAACAGATACATGGTAGCCAGATAGATAGATAGATAGATAGATAGATAGATAGATAGATAGATAGATAGATGATAGAAAATGGCACAGATTAAATGTGTGTTGCTACTCTCAGTACTTACTTTGATGCCCCTTTGCCCTGATATCAGGTGGGCATCCCTGGACAATGGTACATTCTCTGAAGGAAATAAGATTGTTAAATAAAAAATGCCTTAGCTCCTGTTGCCCCACTGTACAATCCAGGACAGAATTCTCTTTCTCTAATGCTTTGTTATGCCTTTTATATATATATATATATATAGAGAGAGAGAGAGAGAGAGAGGGAGAGAAAGAGAGACAGAGGGAAGGCCTGAGTAAGACTTTATTTTGTAAGGAGGGAGAAGAGTAAGGAGACTGACGATGCTTCACCTCCTGGGCTGGGAGTGGGGGTGCGAGGGGTATGTGTACCTCAGTTTGAAGACTTCCAGTTAAAACTCCCTTGGCTTTTGCAGGGATTGAAGTCCTGCCTCTGCCCTTTTTTCTTTCTTTCTTTCTTTTTTTTTAAATTATACATCGTATCTGGGAAATCCTCCCTATCATTCTCTGGAAAGCCTGCCTCACATCCTGCTGTATGAACGTCCTGTGACGTAGCTGACCCGTTCCCCAATCAGTGGATACTGGTTTTCAGTCTGTTTGGCGATTACAAATAAGGCTGCGTCAACTAGTGGTGGATACAGTTGTACCTGGTTGGCACACGTTGGGGACAGTAGCTGGAGGGCGAATCCTGCCCGTGGGATTGCTGGGTCAGAGGATGGGCATTTACAGTTGGACCCGAACCACTGCCCACAGAGGCTGTGTCTATTGACCCTCCTGCTGCAGTGGACGCGATTAGATTACCGCTGCCCCTCACTCTGCCCAGCACCGTGTGCTTGCAAACGTTTTCATCTTGGCTGATTGGAGGGGTGAAAAAATTCTATCTCGCTGTGGTTTTATTTTGCATTTCTCTGATTGTGAGTCAGGTCATCGTCTTTTCATATGTTTGCTTCCCTCTGTAATTCCTCTTCTGGGAAATGTCTGGGAAATGAGCCTTTTGCCCATTTTTCTATTGGATTAGTCTTTTTCTTGAATTGTATTAACACTTTATTTACTAAAGAAATGGGCTCTTTTTCTGTCAAAAGTTCTGTTGGATACATTTCCCAGCTTATCACCTGCTTTCTGACTTTAGCTATGCATTCTTACATGTGTTGTGCAGAAATCCCTAATTTTTATGCAGTTAAATTTATCAATCTATTTATGACTTTTGAATTTTATGTCACACTTAGAAAAGCTCCCTCTGAATTTATTCTTTTTAATTCTACTATGCCTTTTTCCCTCTCTTCCTTTTTTTTGGTTTGTTTTCTCATTATTTTAAGATCCTTGATTCATCTGGAACTTATTTTGCTATAGGAGTAAGATAGCGACCTGGCTTTGTGATCACCTATGGTATCATACAAAATATCATTGGTCTTTGTTTCTGGTTCCTGGAACAAAGCTTCTCAAACCCTTGGAATTTCCTGAGTGACAGCAGTATCCTTCCTAGAAAGCCCACTATGGGTTTAGGCTAATGACCATGATTTAGTGTGGGGTCCCTAGAAAGGCTCAGGGTGGGACTGGACACCAGAAAATCCAAGGAAATTGAGGGCTGGAACTTTCAGCCCCACCCATCAACCTCTGTGAAAGGGTGTGGGTGGGGGAAACTGTAGATTAAGCTCTGTAATGCTCAAACAATGGCGATTTGATGAGCTTCCAGGTTAGTGGAGCACCCACTTGCAGGGAAGGTGGAGCACCCCAGTTCCACAGGGACAGATGCTCCCATGCTAGTGACCCTTCTGAACCTCGCTCTACGTATCTCTTTATTGGGCTGTTCTTCTGCATCCTTTATAATAAACTGGTAGATACTAGGGACTGTTTCTCTGAGTTCTGTGAGCCGCTCTAGCAAATTAATAGAACCCAAGGATGGGGTTGTGGAAACCTCCAATTTATAGCCAGGTGGTCAGAAGCAGAAGTAGCAACCTTGACTTGCATTTGGTGTCTGCAGTGTGGCAGTCTTGTGGGACTAGCCCTTAACCTGTGCGTTCTAATGCTATCTCCATATAGACAGTGTCAGAATGGGGTTAAATTTGTAGGACACCCAGTCTGGGTCCACCAAGAAATGGAGGAAAAAAAACCCATCAGACTACCTCACGGTCCCAACATCATTTATGCACTTATCCCTTTCTTCACTGGTATAAAATGCACTTTTTAAAAAAAGTTTTATTTATATCTCTACACCCCACGGGGGCCAAACACACAGCCCCGAGATCAAAAGTTGCATGCTCTTCCGACTGAGCTAGCCAGGTGCCTACAAAATCCACTTTTAACACAGGCATAGTCTTTCGAGCTGCCCCCATTGACCTGTCCTACTCATGTCTAGGACTAAACTGCCTTTAGTTCTGCTCTTCCTACCATTACTCTTGTATTTCAGAATTTTCGGCTATTCTTGCTTACGTATTCCTCATAAGAATTTTGGCATTGCTTCCTAATGATCCCCGAAATAAAGTTGATGTTTTCCTTGGACTCACCTTAAATGAATCATTAATTAGGGAGAATAGACAACATTTAATACTGAGTGCCCTTATCCAAGAACAGGGTGTGCTTCTCACTTGTTCGATTTTTCCGCTGCTCCATTTTGAAATGTCCAGTCAAGCAGCGCCTGGTGCTCTTGGGAACAGCCATAGCCTGAGTGCGCCCCCTTGCTCAGTGGGGGCAGGTCGCACAGCTCCTCAAGATCAGGGGGTCTGCTTGGTTGGACAACCGCAAGGCTGAGGGAAGGGCAGCTTGCCATTTGCCCCTCTTCCTGGAGCCTGTCCCGGCAGCCACCTCTTCTCTGTTGCAGAGACTTGCAACATTTGTGGTTTAATCACACCTCATCTCCACAGAAGCATCTGGAGATAAAACCTGATAACTTCCTTGGGAATGGGGTCAAGCCTTCTCTTCCCTGACCGTCGATACCTAGGACTCATCGCAGGGGAGCCAGGAGACCATTTGGCTTGGGCCACCCAGTCACAAAAGGCCTCAAATTTACACTTCTCACCCCATCATCATTTGAGGTGAATCACACGGAGGCAACTGGAAGAACATATTCATTAAAAACTCAAGTGTGAGGGACGCCTGGGTGGCTCAGTCGGTTAAGCGTCTGCCTTCAGCTCAGGTCATGATCCCAGGGTCCTGGGATCGAGTCCCGCATCGGGCTCCTTGTTCCGCGGGGAGCCTGCTTCTCCCTCTGCCTCTGCCTCTCTCTCTCTCTCTCATGAATAAATAAATAAAATCTTTAAAAAAAAAAAACAAAAAACCTCAAATGTGAGTCCCATTACCAGACCTCATGCCGGCAAGGCACTAGAAATTTAATATAAATCATGTACCTGATTTGTGAATAGCAGAGCTATATTGTAGGACATTGCCACATATAAAGGAATGCTAAAAAAAATTAAGCCTACATATTTTGAGTAACACATAGGTATCACTCAAATCATAACTGGTGTAATGCTTTGTGTTTTATCAAAACCTTTAAAGTCATATCACGTTACCACCCGAATTCTGAATCTTATGATAGAAATACTTCAAGTACAGTGCTTTTTGTATCCAGAGAAATAAAACAATATTATCTTACGTTTTAGTGTTAAAATAAAAATTAAACATATACCATAGTTTCTGCAATTCCGTTTGGGCATAACTTCATTGTTTTCAGATGTTGGCAGCCTCTAAAATGGCAAGTGTCCCAGGGCTCCCTTGAGGACGGCAAGGCCTGTCAGCGCAGCATCTCACCTCAGGGACCCCCGGCTTAGGGAAATCAGGGGTTAAGCCCTGTCTTACTCACATAACGATTTCCTTTCGTGTCTGCTCCAGCATCATGTACTGCGTCCACTCCTGTTGGGTTTCATAGGTCTTAGACTGATCCACGATCTTTTGGAACATCGTCCTCTTCCTGCAAAACACACCAGTTCGTTAAAGGAGCTCGTCTTAGAATAAGGCAAACCCCGGGGCTTCTAACATTGGCTGTTTCAGACAGAGGTTTCTGAAAACAACATAATTAACAAAACAAGGTGGAAAGAACCCAGGCCCAGGAGTGAAGACCTAGGTTCTCACCTAGACTCTGTCACCAATGTATTACCTGGATCTTACTTAGCCAATTTTCCCCCTGGATTTCAGCGTCTCATGGATACAATGGGAGTGAGAATATCTAACTCCCAGGATTGCAGTGAGAGTTACTGTTTCATAGCACAAGAGCTGTGCCTGGCACACAGAACATATTAAATCGATTGGATCTATGGTGTTTATTATTATAGTCATTGTTATGGTTATTCTTGTTCTTAAAATGAAAAGAAATACCAACTTGAAATACAGGGCGAGGTCTGTGGCAATGATTGCTATATCCATCATGTGGATTGCATGCTCATGCTGTCTGCGATTGAGATTTTGGAAGATATTCAGGCTCTGAAGAGAAAACCGTAGAAGAGATGTGAGAAGTGATGCTGGCAGGATAGTCAGCTACCGATGGTGACCCCCTATGGTGGGAGAGGCAGCCCAGGCCGATGGGAAGAGTGCTGCCCGGCCACACTCAGGCTTCTTGTGAGATGGGGGCTCCCGGCAGGCAATGCAGAGGGCCCTCCACCCATCCTACCTCATCTCTCAGCAATGTTTTGCCGAACTCCAAGTGGTGTCTTTCCAAGATGGAGGACCCATGGAGCTTGGCCAGTGGGTTCTGGGATCTGAATGGGAGACACACACACACAATCAGTATGGAATGGCCAAGAGGAAGGTTAAAGACGTCATCCAGTCCTGCCCCCTCCTAATTCTGCAGGCAGAGAGGCTGACGGCCAGCACTGAGAAGGAGCTTGTCACACGGTGAGATAGTGGGAAAGAAGACTAGACATCAGGTCTCCTGAATCTCAGGCTTTAGCTTTCTCCACAGCTGATTCCGAGCCTCTCTGGGCTCATGGACTCCTTAGAGAGGCCGTTGAATAGCGTGTGCCCCAAAGGCACACACACATACAACGCCACAGGCAATTTTAGAGATTTCTGGGTTCTCTGTACTCATTCATGGACATTGGCCCTGGGCCATACTTTAAGGATCACAAGGCCTTGATGAAATACTTGAGTCTCAGGAGAAGCTAGGAATTCCCACAAGTGGTGTGTTTATTCATGTCTTTATTCAATATATATTTGTTGAGCACTTACTGTGTGCCAAGCACTGAGCTCAGTATTCAGCTTCCCATAAGATAAAGTGTAAACACGACCTCTAGCCTCAGAGCAGCATGTTCTAGGGCTTGTTTATGACTTACAGGCTGTGGGCCCTGGGCAGAGCCTCAGTTTCCTCCTCCATAATATGAGTATAACACTAGTCCCTGATCTACCCAGCCTACAAGGTGGTTATGAAGGTCCGCCAAGACCATGGTGCAAGGACCATGTTTCAGAGGCTGTCTGGAATGTAAGCTGTGTGAGGACAGGGACTGTGTCTGCTACCATGGTACCTCCTTTGTCTAGCACAGGGCCTACCACACTTATATTAGGAGCATTACAAATACAAGGTGAATGAGTGAGCCAGTGTCAGTTACTAACATTTGGCTTAAATTCATTCAGCAGGTAGGAAGGCAGAGAGGGAGGGAGTTTCATATATTGCTGTGATAGCAAATTACCACGAACTTAATAGCTTAAAACAGTAAAGATTTATTATCTTATAGCTCTGGAGTTCAGAGTCTAAAATGGGTCCACAGAGCTGCTTTCCTTCTGGAGGCTCTAGGGGACAATCTGTTCCCTTGCCTCCTAGCTTCTAGAGGCCACCTATCTTCCTTGGCTTGTAGCCCATCCTTCATCTTCAGAGCCAATAGTGCGGTATCCTCTCTCCTCTCTAACCTCTTGCCTCCCTCTTAGAAGGACACTTCTAACTACATGGGGCCCACTTGGATAACCCAGGATAATCCCTATATTTCAAGATCTTTAATCACATCTTTGAAGTCCCTTTTGAATATAAGGCAACATATTCCCAGGTTCCAGGCATGGTGCCATGGACATATTTGGGGGTCATTATTCTGTCTGTCACTGGAGTTTACCCAGACCCACAGGGCAGGAGGAAGTAAGAAGCTGTGGACCGTGGGACTTTCCCTTGGCCAGTGAATCTGCCTGAGAGCCTTTCAGATCTGGGTAATGAATCCTGGGAACGGGAGGCAGAGAAGGGGGACAGTGAGGGCCGACTCACTTCATCTGGTAGAGGTTGTTGGTGCCTCTGTGGTCAATGTCATGGCAAAAGGCAGCGGTGACCATGGCCAAGGCCTCCAGGTCCGTGAAGTATCGCTTCAGCTTTCCAGTCTGGAAGAGCAATCAGAGGTGCCACTCATTCCTTCCTTACAGGGGTTGGAAGCAGAGCAGATGTGAGGGGGAGGCCTGGGGCTTGGGAACACAGGGCTGACCTTGGCTCTGTCCCTGGCACAATAGTTTGACCAGATGTTTGTCTGGGACTGGGGGTTTTTTCAAGGATATGGGACTTGCCATACTAGAAGTGGAACAGTCCCAGGCAAACGGGGATGGTTGGTCACCCTAGTTCTGAGCGATCTTAACTGGTCCAGTCTCCCTCCGGGCCCCAGTATCCCAATCTGCCTACTGGAGGTAGGGTGCACTGGACTAGACAGATGGTTGAGAAATTGCAGCTGTCAGGTTTTAGGATCTGGAGGGCTTTTGAACATGCCCAGACTGGCAAAACAGACCCTCCACTGGTTTAAGCACAGCCCAGAAGAATCTTTCCCTGAGCCTCCTTCAAATACTTCTAGTTTATGCTGGGCGTTGGAGAACGGGTTGGGGAAGAGCTCTGGAGAGGTGATGCTGACTCTGTGACTCTAAGAAATAAATCAAGTCTCAGCGGTGTCACTGTCATCTTCTGTGGTGGCCTGGCCAGAATTCCTGCCTTGAGGCCCTAGTGCCTATCCGGCCCCACCATTCCAGCCATGAGGGAAGACCTGAGGAGGAGGGGGGCTGGACAAGGCCAGAGACTTGCATCATAATCTGGATGGGAAACATTTTACATGAAATATGAATCTCTGAACTCTCTGAACCGAAAAGACTGACACAAATACACATAGGTATATCCATCCAAGGACACCGTGGCAGTGTTTGTAACAGCGAAAGGTCGACAACGAGCCCTGTGTCTAACAGTAGGGGGCTTGGCAAAGATATCCTGGTGTATTTGAACAATGCAGAATACTATGCGGCCATAACATGGTATCATGGATAAGCCTCGAAAGCATCATGCTGAGTGAAAGAAGTCAGACGCAGAAGGGCTGATACTGTCCGAGGTACTTAGGGTACATGTGGTACTTAGGGTAGTCAAATTCATAGAGACAGAAAGGGGAAAGTGGTCACCAGGGCTGGACAGAGGGAAAAGGGGAATTGTTGTTTGATGGGGACAGAGTTTCTATTGGGGAAGATGAAAAAGTTCTAGGGGCGGATAGCCGTGATGGTGGCACAACATGGTGAACAACGTACTTAATACCCCTGACTGAACCATACACCTGAAAACGGTTAAAACAGGGAGTCTTCTGTGATGTATATTTAACCACAATAAAAAATTAAATATATGGAGAACGTGATTGGTATAGTTTTTCAAATGAAGAAACATGTTCTAGGATATAACTATTCAGTTGGATATAAACAAACAGACACTCTGTGTGTCTGCGTGTGTAAAAATAGGTCTCGATGCTTCTAGAAGAGGATTTGTGAGGAGCTCTGCCATGGTTATCTCTAAATAACCGCACTGGCGTTGCGGGCAGCCTGCCCTTTCCTTCACTTTTTATTTTATACAACTCTCTCTGCCCGGAAGTCACGTAGGCTAAGCGTGTGCTCCTCTCGCGCCATTTTTTTTTTTTTAAAGCACCGAAGCGAGAGCAAAGGGGCTACTTCCGGGCGCTGGGGGGAGGTCATCCGGTGGGGCCGGAAGCGCCCGCCGCCGTCCGCCGCCGTCCGCCGCCGTCCCCCGCCGTACCACCAGCAAGGAGAACATGGTCTGTCCCACGTTGAAGCCGTGCCGCCAGTTGTGGTAGGTGATCCTGCGGTAGCCCTTGCTCAGCGAGTACATGAACCGCACCAGGGCCTGCGAACACGGGCGCGGGAGTGAGGCCTGGGAGGCCCTGCCCCCCCGCCCCCCGACCCCCGACCCCCGACCGGGACCGAGCGGGCGAGCAACAGCTGCGGGAACGCTGGCAGAGTACTTTGCAAATGGCTAAATACGAGCAAAATGGACGTTGTTGGGAAACCAGGTGCGTGTGAGACCCTCCACTAACCCCGCTAACGGAGCGTCATCGGGGTTTCCCAAACTGGGTCCCGGAGAGCTACCGGGGAGGAAAACCAAAGGGGTCTTTAAGTCCGTGGTTCTCCAACATGAGTGCCCATCAGAATCACCCGGAGGGCTTGTTAAAACACACACTTTCTGATTCATTAGAGCTAGGAGAATGCGTGTGTGTGTGTGTGCGCGCGCGTGCACAACGGAGACTTTGTGCTTCTGATACATTCTCAGGTAGTGCTGTTGTGGTTTGGGGCAGCACTTGGAGAACCGCTGCTTGAATCAAACAAGTCTGGGAAATTCTGAGCTTAACCCCCACCCCCACCCCAGCCCCCCCTTCCCCGTCGTCCGTCCCCAGGCCCCTAGATTCACAGTAGGCTGTAAGGAATCCTGCAGGGGAAAAGGCCTGTCTAAACTGACCCACAATTCCCACCCTTGTTTCACTATTAGTTCCCAATCATGCCTTGGGAACTCAGTGCCTCACAAGCCACCTTGAGAATCCAGCGCGCCCAGAACACTACAGTTCAGAGGAACTGGGTGTCTCTTTCCTGATAAATGACTCACCTGTGCAACATGACTAATGCTTTATAGCCTCAAAGCTGAAGGTACACTGTTTACAGATTGAGTTTAAAAAAAAAAAAAAAAGCAAGAAGAAAAAAGGAATCGGAAGAGGTTTATTTTGACCTTACCTCCTGAGGAATGTGAAATTTGTCCACCACTTTGAGCTCATAGTACATCTGTATCCCGCATTTCACCAGCTCCAGTTCCGTGAGGGGCAAGTCGCTGAAGTGGAACTTATTGATCTCGAACTTCTCTGCATCTGGCAGCTCTCCTTGCTGTGTAAGGAGGGGCGTCCAGGGGTTGGGGCACCTGAAGGTTCGTGGGCCCCTCCCCCGGCAGCCCCCAGCCCTGGCCCCATCCCAGGTCTGCCTGGAGGATCAGAGCAGGGTGGGCAAGGGGCATGCTTTGCGAGGCAGCCCCCTGCCCTGCGCACGCTCAGGGCACAGCCTGCGAGGTTCTGCCCTGCTCACCAGGATCTCAGCGAGTTCCTCTTCCTCGCATTCCCAAGGCTCCTTCCCGTACACCTCTCTGGTTTTCTGCCAGTGCCCAAAATAGCAGAGAGAGAGAAAAAAAATCGGTTACTATATCTGAGGTCTGAATATGGCTCCACTTTTCCATTTCCATTCTCCTCCTTCCTCCAAAGTGCTTGCAGCGGGGGCCACCAACTCAGAGAGGCTGCCCTTCACCATTCATTGATGGGCAAAATAAAAGTCCTGGGCTTCCGGCTGCGGGGACCTGCCTGCAAGTTCAGCTTTGCCACTTACTAGCAGAGCTGCTTAATGCCTTCGATCCTCCATTTTCTCACCTGTAAAATGGGGATAATAAAAGTACTTAACTGGTGAATTAAGATTAGATTTATGCCAAGTCATTTTGAAAAAACATGTATACAGCTAGATGAAATAATGCACGTAAGTCCCTCAGTGCAGTTCTTGGCACATAGCAAACACTAGAATTAAATAATGTTGCTGATATTCTTATTGTTTCTATTACTGACTGGAGTCAGAAGGTCTTGCTCATGGTCCTGGCTCTTCCTCTCACTTACTGTGTGACTTGGGGCAAGTTTCTTCCTTCCCTGGGCCTATTGTACCATGCATGTGCCAGAGGAGGGGGGACCTGGACCCAGTTTCTTGCTTCTGATTTCTTGACCCAGAGCATAATCTGTTCACTTTTCACTGGTTCCCTGAGGCTATGCTGCCAGAGGGCCCACATATCCATCACTTGGCTGAAATCATGGACTGAGACAAGCAAACCATGAGTCAGTTCATCCAAACTAGATGATTTCTCCTTTGAATTTATCAGTGATTGGGATGAAATGATCAAATTTGTTGTGATATCTTCCGAGCTTAAGAAATCACTTCTGAAAACATTGGCCTGTATTGTTTCAACTTGTGAGATCTATAAGCAAGGTCCTGGGAGCTTAGCTGGACATCTTATCCAATGCCATTTGGCTAACTCAATTGACTTCTAAGATCATGATCTCTTTGAGAACAAAATTCCAGGAATGATGAGTCACTAATCACCATATATCTTTCAAAGTACCTCATCCAGTTTCCTACCCCAGGTAGGACTCTCCTCTGTAGCATCCCTGATAAATGATCACCCAGCCTCTACTTGGATACCTCTCTTGACAGGGTGCTCACTACCCCATGAGGCAGGCCCTGTTCATAAGAATAGTAGAGAATTTGCTCATTATCCTGATAAAGTTTAAACGAGAACTATTTAATGAGCTGGGTGATTAGGGGACAAGGTACTTCCCCCTTCTGGACCTCAGTTTCTTCATATCTGCAACAGGGATAGAAACACCCTGCCCACCTTAGTGTGCGGTTGTGAGCATCAAACAATACACTAAGTGTGAAATTGCCTTATAAACTGTAAAGTGATGAAACTATGTGAGGACTCCCTACTAACATCTAACTCCTTCTGTCATACTTCCTTGCTCACCAAACTCCTCTGTGATCTGATTGGGTTTCTGAGTGAGCTGGCCCCATGGAGGGAGTCTCTGAGAAACTGACCATTGTCCATCGGGCTGTCAGAGAGAGCTTCCTCTCAGAGTAGGTGCTGTGGTTGGGTGACTCCATCTCTACTACCAAGTCAGCCCTCAGCACAGTGAAAAATGGAGTTTCCAGAGCTGTTAAGCCAAGATCTGGCCCTAAGACTGAGGTGGCATGCAAAGGACAGCTGTTGTCAAGCCACACAGATCAGCCATTATGTATGAGTCGCTGGTATTCGTGGAGCCATCCATCCATCCGTTGAATGTGAGGGGCCCGGGACATCCCTGTGCAAGGCCAGCCCACTCGTCTCTGCCTTCACGGAGCTTGAGTATTGCTCTGGCCACGTACCAAGGGTGTTTCTGCTAGAGCAGAAACAATAAAAGAACTTTACCCACCAGGATTTTCTGGATTTCTTCATTGTCGCACTTCACGTGGTATTTTACCATGTCCTGGAAAATATCCTTCCTGTTTTCAAGTCTGTTCATTGACTCATAGGTGTCAGGGTTTAAGACGGACCAGCCCAGGAATTGAGCCAAAGACTGAAAGGAAAGAAAAGAAGAACATCCAGAGGCAGAACACCCAGGCTTGATCCTGTCTTTGCAACTTAAGGCAAGACTCCAGGATTCCATTTCCTCAGCTGTACGATGGGTTTGATCAGCTGGGTGTTACCCTCCTCAAAGAGATGGTGTGAGGATGAAGATCAAACAATGGATGGGAATGCACTTTAAAATAAAGTTCCAACACACATAAAGCATCATTCTTATCTGTAATAACTTTACCCAAGTATGTGTACCCATGTGGGAACAGGAGGCATATGGGAACTCTGTACTTTCTGCTCATTTTTGCCATGATCCTAAAAATGCTAAGAGGTAAAGTTTATTAATTAAAATTTGTTTCAAAGGGAATGTGGATTTCTCTGACAGCACATGGTAGTGCAGAAGTGGGAGCAAAGAGAGCAGACATTTAGGCTGAGTCAGAGTCGCATCGAAAAGGTAAGCTCCCACCCCTTCCCAAGTGAGGGCCCCCCACATGCTGGCAACAAGCCAACGCTGCAACCCAATGGCAAAGGCCTCCTCCCAAACCATACCTCCATGAGGGTCTCGTCCATCTCATCAAAGGGCTTCCCATCTTTGCGATTGTAAAATGTGGCCACCCCAACAATTTCTTCCTTCTTGTTCACAATTGGCATAGAAAGGACATTCTTAATCATCCATCCGGACTCATCCAGAGGCTCTTTCTACAAGAGAAGCCAGAGTAGGTTACAAATCTGTTACTGTTCAGGAGGACCTTTCATTCAGAAGTCTGGCCAGAACTGGCCCTAGAAATAGCAGTCAGAAAAGGACAAGGGAACAATAATTCTGTCTGCTTGTTATCAACAACATATGCAACAACAGAGGAGGAGCAGAGGGGTTCCAATGAGTTTAAATACCATATAGTTCACCAGCCTCTGTGCGTCAAAACTTTCAGACTTTCTGCCATGCCAGCTATTTAGGTCTGTTTAAAAAGTGCCTGTGCTTTCCAGGTAATATCTATAAAATGAAAACTGCAAAACAACTAGGGTCTGTGGGTAGGTGGTAAACAAAGCAGATTGTGGCTATGTCAACACAACCTTTGGCTTAATGATGGGCTCTGTGCTTTTTTTACACCTGCCTGCTCTGAGAAGAGGTTAAGGTAATCTGGAGTGTTTCACCTGCTTCTGATCGTTCAGAGTCTCTCATTCACGGTGTCTCCCACACACTACCAGTTCTGGAAAGGGCTTAACAAAGCCATCATTAAAGATCTTGTTTGTTTGTCTCTTGACTCTGTTTTTTTTTTTTAAGATTTTATTTATTTATTCATAAGAGACAGAGGCAGAGGGAGAAGCAGGGAGCCTGATGCGGGACTCGATCCCAGGACCCCGGGATCATGACCTGAGCCAAAGGCAGACGCTTAACCATCTGAGCCACCCAGGCGTCCCTGTCTCTTGACTCTTGACGTGACTTCCTGGGTTACTTTTGGCCTGTCATTTTATCTCAGTGGGCCTCAATTGTCTCATCTGTAGATGGGGATGGTAGCAAGAATCTCTGGCTCACGGAACAAATGAGACAAGGGAGCTGAAATATCTCGGTCAGTCGTAAGGTGTCCCTTTATGAGTCATTTCCCCTCTGTCTGAGCCTCTCACTTTTATCATTTATAACATGGCAATGACTAGACTAGGTCATTTCTAGGCTCTTTTCTCATGGATTCATAAAATATTAAACGTTTAACTGAGCTAGAAATCGAAAAAACCAAGGCAAATGAGGCACAAAAGTTATCCTCAGGTTGCTCATAATCTGGAAGGTAAGCGAGCAACTGCACAGCAGGTGGGGAGCTTCTTATGGTTCTGGGGGAACCAGAGGAGGGAAGGAAATCAAGGAAGGCTTCCTGTACTTGGAGAGTCTTCCAGTTCCAAAGTTCTAAGATTCTTAAGGTGGTGAGATGGTGATGAGGATAATGATGATTTCAGTAACACTGGAACTCAGCACCTGGTGGGAAAGTGACTCCAGGAGGATGCAGATTACAGCCCAAAGAGCAAGGGGCTGTTGGTCAGGAAACATGAGTTCCAGCTCTGCCTTCCCCCCAAGTCTCTACCTAACCTTCGGGGAACCCCTTCCTTCTGAAGGCCATGATAAGGAGACAGGTTTTATTGAAAGCCAAACAAGAAAGCATTAAGGATTTTTAAGCAGAGAAGTTACTTGATGCAGCCTGAGTTTCGAAAAATTACTCAGGCTACTTTATAGAGGATGAGTTGGAGGAAGAAGCCTAGAATCTAAAAACAAGATCAGATTTGATTTTTTTAATGTGGGTAAATGGAATTAATTGGGTAGGGACCAAGTTCTGTATGGTTATAGTCAGGTTAGCCGCTCTCGGCAACAATTGGAGCTCGTCACACGGATACGATCAAAATTCCAACACAAGACATACAATGTTAACTTTGGAAGGATATCCTTGCTGAGCTCTTTCATGATGTTCCTCAAAGAGTAAAAAAATAATTCACTAATTTTTCTAAGAGTCATTATTTTCTTCTTAATTATTTCCTAATTGCTAATGCTTTGTTTTTCTTCCATCTGGCGGGCTAACCTCAACAAATATTGATAGGCCACCTGGAGCTGAAGATATTAAGAAAGATAAGGCCCAACCGTTGACCAAAGGAAGCTGATATTCTGCTGAGAGGAATTAATCTGAAAGCAAAGAAGGGTAATAAAAGATAAAGTAAGGGGAATATAGTATGGAGAACTCCAGGCCACGTGTCATCTGTCCTTGCCGTGTGTCATCTGGCTTTGGTCTACTTCTCTAGAATCTCCTCCTGCCACTCTCCACGCTACCTCTCACTTAGATTCATAGGGCTACTCTACGTCCTTCCAACAAGCTCTCTCTTTCCTGTAGTCTTCTCTCCTTTCTTTGCTGCCCCAACATAATTGCTCAGGGACATTCCTTGATTCCTTCCAGATTAAGTCAGGTCCCCAGAAAGATTCCCTCCTCTATCCTTCTGTCCTTTTTTGACCAGCACTCCATGGCCTTTCTCCCCATGGAGATAAAGACCATGTCTGTCTGATCCACCATTGCGGCCAGTGTAGCCCTGTGTCAAATCCTGGCACAGAGAACGCCCTCCATAAACACTTGTGAAAAAGACAGATAAAATCAAATGGAGTGCTAAACAGTATTCCATGAAAATCCCAAAGAGACAGAAATGATATTAGCCAGAGGAAACAGAATAAGACTTCATAGAAGTTTCATAGCATTTGAGGTTGTACTGAAGGGCAGAGAGTATTTGGGCAGGACAGGATGGTTCCGGGGCAGGGGAACAACATAAGCAAAGGTCCAGAGGCCAGAAAGTAAAGCGTGTGAACATTAAAACCAAATGGAACCTTGGAATTTACCAAAGTAACTCCCTCCCCACTTCCATGGGCACATGGTTTTTTTCCAATCCGTGTTTTTTTTTTTTTAAAGATTTTATTTATTTATTTGAGAGAGAGAGAATGAGGACAGCATGAGAGGGAGGAGGGTCAGAGGGAGAAACAGACTCCCTGCCAAGCAGGGAGCCTGATGCGGGACTTGATCCCGGGACTCCAGGATCATGACCTGAGCCGAAGGCAGTCGCTTAACCAACTGAGCCACCCAGGCACCCCTCCATCCGTGTTTTTACTTTGTTGAGACTGCTTCCCAGTAAATAGATGGATTTTAATGTATTCAAACCCTCTTTGGGGGTATTCAAACCCTCTTTGGGGGAAAAAATATCAGACGACTAAGAGACCAAAGAAATAATGACTTACCTGGAATGTAAAAAAGTCCTCCTCAGGCGCATTCATGATGTTGCAAATCTGAAAGCCATGAAGAGAAATAATGGAGCTGTGATTAGACTCGATAGCATTCCCAGTGAGCCCTGTGTGCTATCTTCAGAAACGCTACGTCCTTGCCCAAGGCGTTCACATTCTTTTCCTCAGGTAGACATGCCCATGATGGCTTTCAATGATTAACTGAGGCTACTGAACAGAAAAGCTACCTTATGAACATTATTTCTTGCCATTTGCTTCACTCCTTAGTCATTTCCAAGCTTTGAAAAAATTGAGGCTACAGTTTGTCATTTTTAATAGCCGTATGGTATCTCATTTTGTTGTTTCTCTTTTGTTAAATATTTGGATTGTATCCAATTTTTGTCATTATTAGTGTAAATAATGCCACTCCAAGCATCTTTAAACCAATTACACTTAGGTTTGGTATTGTTTGTTTTGTAAAGAAGGAGTTTTTTCTTGGGGTATAAACCCAGAAGGAGAATGAGAAATAAAAGGTGTTGTAGCTCTGGTTTTATGTTGCCAGACTCCTCTCCTAAAAATTGAACCAGTTTACCCTACCATACATAGGAGACTTAGCTGACACTCCAGAGCCCTGCCCATGGGACCTCTGTGTACAGTTGCATAGTGTGTGTACTGCACAAAAACATCTCACTGAGGGGCTGACTGGGAGCTGAAATCCAGCCTATTCTTGACTCAGCCTGTTTGCAGAGCCATGCTCCTCGTCTTTCTCTTTTTGTCCACTGAGAAGTGGTACTTTTGTCTAGTTCTCAAAAAGGCACCAATATGAGCTTGAAGTAACCCAGCCAGTCCCACTGGCCCTGACCATCCTATGGTCTCAGAGGGTGAGCAGTCTCTGCTCCTGTTCCAGAACTGGCCTCTCTTTAGACCAATTCCATCAGTTGCCATTGTTCCCTCCTGATCTCCAACCTCTCCGAGGGCTCTTTCCCTTCAGCCATGAGCTTGCTTGAGTCTTTCCCATCCTGGAAAATGAAATCCTCCCTCGACCCAAACATGGTCCCAGTAGCAACCATCCAGGCTTTCTCCTGTTCTTTTCTTTTGCGATTCTCTACCTCCTCATTACCCATTCACACCTTGGCAGACCACATGCTGGTCTCCACATCCACCTCACCACCAAATATGCTCTCATCGGGGCCACCAGTGATCTAACTGCCAAACTCAATAGGGTTTTCAGTTCTTATCTCGCTAGATCATTTTTGCTGCATTTGGCCATCTCTCTACTTCCTTGGTTTCCATGACACTATTCGCTCCCGGATCTCCAGATACCTCTGAGCCCTCCTTCTGATCCTCCCTCACACATTCCTCTTTCTCCACCTAATCTTTAAATGCTGGCATCCCAACAGTATCCCACCCCAGGTCCCTCTCACTCTCCCTGGTGACTTCATTCACACACATGGTTTCAGGTACCATCTGGTCCTGATATCTTCCAAATCCCCATCTCCGTCCCTCCTCTCTCCCACAGCTTCAGAGTCATCTCTTCAGCTGCCTACTGGACATTTGCTGCCGAAAAATGTCTCAGTGTCACCTTGTCTGCAACTTACCTCCTCATCTTGCATCCAAACCTGATGGCAGCACTACTTATCCAACCCAGAAGCCCGAAATTGGCTCTGACTCTTCTTTCTCCCTCCCTCTCTGCTCACAATCACAAAGTCCTGCCAGTTTTACCCTCCCGGTATTAGATCTGATCCCTGATCTCCCTCTCTCCATCTTGTCTGTCAGACTTGTGTGAGTATCAAACGAGCAGATTTATTTACTGCGTGGCTCCTAGGCACTCAATGGCTATGTGCCATGCTGGTACTCTTCACTGTCTGTGCCCTTGCTGAGATGCTCCTTTTCTCTTGCTTATAAGGATATATTTTGTGCTCTGCCTCTTAATCCCTTCAGATCTCTCTGAGTTATCTTTTTAAAATGAAAATTGACTATGCCAATCTCTTGACCTCTTCCTCTCTCAAACCTAATATTCCAGCCACACTGGACTGTACACACCATGCCAGTCAAACCTCCAGGCCTGGGTTTGCTCACGTTGTTGCCTTCATCTTGAATCCCCTTTCCTGTTCCTGCCCGCCTAATAACCTATTTATTTTAAAACCACTCAGACTAACACTCTAGGAAGAAAAGCCTGGTTTATATGCCTCCTACTTTGTGTTCCTAGAATATACCCAGTATATCTCTCTTGTGTCCTCATCACATTGTATATAAGAATCTGTTTAAAATATCTCCCCCTTCGATTATGAGCTTCAGAACAGAAGTTGTATCTGGTACATCTATCTGTCTATCCCCAAAGCCAATGACAGTGCCTGGTACCTAGAAAATATTCAATATATAAACTTCTGGCTATGTGAGCAGCATTGAGTAGTGTGTGCCTGGGGAAGGATAAAGGGGTGACTGGGCTCAAATATGGGGGTGATGTGCAGCTAACAGACAAGACCTTTCTTTCTAGGGCAGGGGATGCTTACTCCATTTTTGACCCCGAGTGGGTGGGGCGTGGTGGGAGATGGAGCATTTGAGCTCTGCTGTACATGGTACAGCTGGAAATATGGCAGGGATGAGGGGTAAAGAGTGGCAACTGAGTCTCTGGAATGAGAGGCTGGGACTGGGTCTGTGGTGAGCCTGGGAGACCAGTCTGCCATTTGCTTTTGTCCCTGACACACGAGCAAGTATCTTTAATTGTCAGTGAGACTAAGCACCTTCCCATCTAAGGATTATTTCTCTGTGTATTTCATATTTCCTCAGATGTCAATTCTCTGTTCATGTCCTTCGACCAAGTGTCAAGTGAGTTGAGAAATGAGAGAGTCAGGCTTTGAGAGACCCACACTTCCTATCATGTTTCCCACTCTCTCGATCTGAAATCCTTTTACTCTTCCAACTGATTCAAGACTCTCCCTCTTCCAAGTTGTGTTACTTACCAGGCCATTCTGGGCAACATAAGTGGGCAGACCACTTACTAAAGCCCAATGATCAGGAGGTGGATTCCTGTAAAGGCCAAAGACAACTGGTAACTTTTGATGTAGGGACAGTTGGACTAAAACCTTGAATCTGGGTCTTTGCCCCTCTCTACTCTCATGGCTCTCAAGTCCTGCTTACATTGCCTATGCCTGAATGAGCCCCAAATCTTGTCTAAGCATCTTAATGTTTCAAATTTAGACATGGAAAAAAAGCATGATGAATACATTTTATGATGGCACACTGAGTGTGATTATCCAAGAAAAGGGACAACACTGATTGCTGAACAAAAGCAGGCACCATCTTTTCCCTCCATTAATACACAGAAAGAGGTAGCTTAATTCCATAGAGAGACTGAGGGAACTCATCTACAGTGAACTCCTACCACGCACCGAGCACTAAGCTGGGTGCTTTACGTATTTATTTATCCCTCATGACAATATTACAATTTTTGGTATTATTATCTTTTATTTATTGTAAGATTATACTTTTTTGTTGTGAGAAAAGATATAAATGTGGAAAGATGCATTAAGATCTTCATGAATCGGGGGTGCCTGGGTGGCTCAGTCATTAAGCGCCTGCCTTCGGCTCAGGTCATGATCCCAGGGTCCTGGGATCGAGCCCCGCATCGGGCTCCCAGCTCCGCAGGAAGCCTGCTTCTCCCTCTCCCTCTCCCCCTGCTTGTGTTCCCTCTCTCGCTGTGTCTCTCTCTGTCAAATAAATAAAATCTTTAAAAAAAAAAAAAAAAAGATCTTCATGAATCGTTCTTTTGTCTTTTTCTGTTTTAATTTCTGGGCTTATGTTTATTCTTTGGGCTTATTTTTTTGCTGATTTGTTGTTAATTTCTTTTTTTAAAAATATTTTTATTTATTTTTTGACAGAGAGAGACACATCGAGAGAGGGAACACAAGCAGGGGGAGTGGGAGAGGAAGAAGCAGGCTTCCCATGGAGCAGGGAGCCTGATGCGGGGCTCGATCCCAGGACCCTGGGATCACGACCTGAGCCAGACGCTTAATGACTGAGCCACCCAGGCGCCCTTTGTTGTTAATTTCTTGAGATGATGTGATAGACCGCTCTTGTCTGTCCCTCCAGATCGACTCTTGAACCCTCCCCTCCCTGTGCCAGGAGGCCAATCTGTATAGACTACATCCACAGGGCTCCTGGCCTTCTAGCTTCTAGTTGCATATGAAGACTATTCTAATTAGTTTTTTGTTATTGGTTTCTAGGATAATTTCATTGTGACCAGGGGACATTCTATGTATTATTTCAGTCTTTTGAAATACGAAGTTTACTTTGTGGCCCATTTATCACCAGTTATTATAAATGTCACACGTATGCTTGAAAAGACTGAGTGTCCTCTGGTTTTGGGGATGGAGTGCTGTGTTCTCTCTATATCCATTCAATTAAGTTTAATTGTGTTATTTAAATATTCTATATTATGTTTTAGTCTGCTCCTCCTATCAATTAGCAAACATGGATCTGCCTATATCTTCTTATATTGCTGTCACCTTTTGCTTTTTTTTTTGAGGCCATGTTATGAAGTGTATACAGATTTAGAATTGTAATATCTTCCAGTAATAGCCAGGTGAATTAACCCCTTTATCATTAAGAATTGACTATATCTCTACTTGTGCTCTTTGTTATATTATCTAATTTTATCTGATATCTGATATTAACATAGTTATATTAGTTTTTTCTATTAGCATCTGCATGTATATATTTTTTTTCTTTCTTTTACTGCCAACCTCTCTGCATTCTTGTCTTTTAGATAGGTCTCTTATAAACAGGATGTACAGTATTTCTTCATACCTAGCAAGTCAACTGTTCCTAGACAGACCATTTCCTACATGTAACGAGAAAGATAAAATGCTGCCAGTTCATCTGTGATGCAATGTTTTTTGAACTTGTAATTATTACCTTATTAATATCAACAGGGATCTCTTAGAATTTAGAATTTAGAAATAGATTTTTTTTAAGAAAATCAGCCATTAATAGTCTTTTTTTTTTTTTAAGATTTTATTTATTTATTTGAGAGAGAATGAGATAGAGCATGAGAGGGTCAGAGGGAGAAGCAGACTCCCTGCCGAGCAGGGAGCCTGATGCGGGACTCGATCCCGGGACTCCAGGATCATGACCTGAGCCGAAGGCAGTCACTTAACCAACTGAGCCACTCAGGCGCCCTAGAAATAGATTTTTATATTCCACACTTTTCCTATCTTTTTGTGCCATTCAAAGCAACTTTCTGTTTCAGTGCTGCATTATGGTATATAATCTCTTCAAGTTACTTAAAAAAAAAAAGATTATTTGAGAAAGAGAGAGAGCGCAGAGGGGAGGGGCAGAGTGAGAGGGAGAGTTTTAAGAGTTTTAAGCGGACTCTGAGCTGAGTGAGGAACCCCATACGGGGTTCAATCTCATGACCCTGAGATCACAACCTGAGCCAAAACCAAGAGTCGGATACTTAACTGACTGCACTGCCCAGGCGCCCCTCTTTAACTTTATATGGCAATTAAATTCAATGTGGGTACAACCAATAGTGCACATAACTCAACTGAAGTCCTAACAATATCAATGGTCATGCCAAGTTCATACGTAAACAGGCAATAATAGTTACATCATTAACTGCCATCTGGCTGACAGCCATCATACAGTGTCATTGATTCTATTCCAGAAATGTCAAAAAGGGGGCGCCTGGGTGGCTCAGTCGTTGGGCGTCTGCCTTCGGCTCAGGTCATGATCCCAGGGTCCTGGGATCGAACCCTGCATCGGGCTCCCTGCTCGGCGGGAAGCCTGCTTCTCCCTCTCCCACTCCTCCTGCTTGTGCTCTCTCTCCCGCTGTGTCTCTCTCTGTCAAATAAATAAATAAAATCTTAAAAAAAAAAAAAATGTCAAAAAGTAGAAAATGATGCATCTTAGAATCAATGAAATGTGATAGATTTCTTTCTTTCCGGCCGGCAATCTTTGTCATTTAATTGGAACATTTAGTTGATTTACATTTAAAGTAATTATCAATATATTTTGGTTTAAATATTACCTTAATGTGCACTTTTTATTTTTTCCACCTGCTCTATGTTCTCTCTAAACCTTACTTTGTCTTCTTTTGGTTTGATTAACCATTTATTTAGTATTTGTACAGATGGCGTATACTTTGGCAGTCATTTAGGATAGCCGCGAATATTCTGGCTCTCACTCCTGGCACATGAGAGGGTTGCATTCTCTGTCCACTTGAGGTTGGGTGCGGCCATATACTAACTCCGGTCAGTGAAACGTGAGAAGTGAAGCGCGCCCCCTCTGGAGGGATGTTTAAGAGCCAGTGTGTGTTTTGTTGTGTTCTCGCTTTCCCTCTGGCAAGTTAGTCAACCTCGCAAGGTTCAAAATGGTGGCTGCTCCACCAGCTGTGGTCCCTGCCTGGCTACCGTCCATGCAGGATACTCCAGCCACACCCACCAACCAGCGATTTGCAGGCAGTGGGATGATAAATAAGTTTTTACTGTTTATACCACTAAGGTCTTAAGGTTTTGTTACCATAATGTAGCCTGGCCTGCTTTGGCCGATACAAAAATTGCTCTCAGAAACAGGGTGCTGCCATAACAAAGAACCTAAAATAGGTGACATAGCTTCGGGACTGTGTGGAAGGTAGCAAAGTGAGTGTGTGTTATCAGAAGCTAGAAGGATATGATGCTTGATAAACAGTGGTAAAACACTGTGGAAAACTGTGACCTGTGGTAACTAGTAACAACAGATAAAGAGTTTAATAAACTTATAGCTCTAGAAAAGAAGTTAGAATGGTTAAAGAGTATGCATTTGACAAGGTTAAAAAAAAAAAAACACGGGTGCCTCAGTGGCTCAGTTGGTTAAGCGTCTGACGCTTGATCTCAGCTCAGGTCTTGATCTCAGGGTCATGAGTTCAAGCCCGGCGTTGAGCTCCATGCTGGGTGTGGAGCCTACTTAAAAAAGAAAGAAAGGAAGGAAGGGAGAGAGGGAAGGAGGGAGGGAGGAATAAGCTTAGAAAAGAATCAGTTTTCATGCAAACAGGAATGAACAGAGAGAACCCAGAAACTAAGGACCTTGAAGCAACTTCTCAGCCCCAACCAGTTACAGATAAACCTGTGAACTGGATTGTCTGTGTGACAGGATTATCATCCTTCAGTCCAGTGATGACCAAGGTCAACTCCCATTGTGGCCTCTCATACCCACTGTTTAAAGATTAAGGTGACCGAAGGTAAATCCCAGAGTCTGATTTTGGCCTGGAGGTGTCTGCAAGTCAGTTCAGAAAGTGAGCCGGCTTCAAGGCAGAACTGTGAGTGTCCTGTTAGCACAGAGAAGGTTTCAATAGATAGCAAAGCAGCTAGGTTTCGGACAGTGACCTACTGACCGAAAAAAGTACAAAAAAGTACAAGCTTCTACTAAAGAAGGTTCTTGACTGTTAGAATCTTAAAATGGCCTTGGAGTCCTTACCACGTACAGGGAGGTGGAAGCCTTGCCCTCTGGGAATTCTTGCCTTTCCATCCTCCATGGTCCGTTAAGAAGAGGACAACAGAGAATGAGCTTTCCTTGCACCAGCTTCTTGCCTTTGCCTCACCTCCCTGGCTGGGCCCCAGATGTGCCTCCACAGGAAACCACTGGAAAGCCCTAATCAGATCCCACCGTCTTGTTCTGTAGACGGGGAACTGAGGCCTGAGACCGGAACTCCCAGGAGCTGACTCAACAACATGCAGCGTCTTTTCCCAACTCGTATGGTCTTTCTACTCTTCCACACTGTCTCCTTACTGCTCTTCCTGTCTCTGACCAAGTGTGTGGCCCTCTTGGGTTTGCTTAGTGTTGATCTTGGAATGAGTATCAATGGACATCCATAACATGCTTACCATTCTACCTGTTTTGAGGAGAAACTTACGGGATTACTTTGATGTCTTCTTTGCCATGTAGGATGTAGTCAATGACCTTGTAAAAGTTGATTTCCTAGACAAAAGAGATAAAGAAATCTATAACATGAGAGCCAGAGACAGAACTTCAGCACAAGGGTGTCCATGAGACAGGGCTTGTTCTTTACTGAGTACCCTGTGGTTTTCCAGAAACACCAGCCTGGCCCTCTCAGGGCGTATCCCGGCTGCCTCTGGAGCTCACTGTCCTCAGCTGACTCGTGATTCAGTGTGCTTAACCTTCAAACCAGCCCACCGTGGCCAGGCAGGGGCTGGGATCTGGGAAAGAGGGATAGGAAGTGTTCCAAGGGGAGCTGGGGGTTGAGCACAAGGAGAAAGAGAGAAAGACTGCTTTCTGGAGTCCAGGGAGAGAGGGAGGTGGAAAGGATACTCCTGTCCATTTAGAGTTGTGGTCAACTCAGCCATTCCTGCAGAGCTCAGCTCCATCGTTCCAGCCCCCCTTTCTCCTTGACTCCCATCACTCAGCTGCTCTCTTTGCTGTGTCAGCTCTTCCAGACTTGTCCTCCCAAACTTACTTCATGCCCCCCAACCCACTTTCCACCTCTTCCATCCTTCCCACCTCCTTGCACCATCAAAACTCCCATCCTCTAAAGTAGATCTGTTCAGTTACATGACTTCCTTTTTTTTTTTTTTTTTTCAGTTACATGACTTCCTAACGGGAAGTGGGATATTGGCAGTGGGATACTGGATATTCCCCTAACCAGGGAAAATTCTATCACCTTATTAGATCATCTGAACACCCAGCTGCAATGGGCAGGTTAAAAACCATTTTATAAATGGGAAAAATGAAACCCAGAGAGAGGAAGAAAGGGACTCATTTTATAGTAGACAGTGAGTCAGGAAGGAGTGAAACCCTTGACTCTTACTCTCAGGGCTCTTTCTGTGACACCACTTAAGGTTAACCTTATGTTAACCTAAGATAGTGTTTTACTCTCTGCATCACTCTCACCCTAAACAGGGCTATTCAAAGCATGGACCCTGGACTGGGACTATCATTTGGTACCATTCCATGACGAGATAAAAACAGAAATTGAGAGTCAGTGTTTAGAAACTTGTATATAGCCGTTTGACTGAGTTAAGTTAGGTCTGTTGAGATTAATAAAAAAGGAAGGGATTTACGATTTGCATGTCTTTGAAATTTTTAATTTTTCTGGTTATATAGTGTGATCCCCTTTTGAAAAGTATCAGTCCAAAGTGGATTGGAAATTAAAAAAAACAAACCAACAAAGCTGTTCCTTGAGTGCAATATTTTGAGAAGTACTGCTCTAGAGATGTAAATGTAGATACCTGAACCCCATCTGGTCTCCTGACTCACAACCTCCACAAAGAGAAGCTCCTGATTCAGTCAGAGGTGTCTGAATGTCCATTTGGTTGCAGGTGATCACAACTTTCTTCAAGTTCCAGAGGCTCTGCTCCTTCTGACTAGCAGCCACTAAGACTCATGCTCTAGTCTTGGTTTTACTGTGAGCACTCCTGGGGGCTCAGTTTCCCCAGCTGGAAAACCGGTGGTATGTGTTTGTTTGAGCTGCCCTAATGGGGCAGAGCTGGGCACATGGAGATCCTGTGTCTCTCTTTGTTCTCTCTCACTCCCTTTCCTGTCCTACCTTCCTCGTTAGTCTGGCCAAGGCAAGCACTGTGGACGTGGAGGGGTCCAAAGACAATCAGAAAAGAGATAATACCCAAACTAGATAATCCCCAGCTACGATTCTAAGATTGTGGTTGAATGATTAGCCATATCCCTCGTAGATTAAAATGCATATCTCCTTTGACGCGGCGATTCCATGTGTGGTCATGAATCCTAGAGACACACTTCTAAATGTGGGTAAAATCATCCTTTGCCCCAGCCAGGGGTCTCAGCCAGACTGCTTTCAGAAGTCTGGAGCCACCGTAATGCTGTCATCAGGAGGGTGGCCGCCCAGCGCCTGCATCCAGTGGATACTCTGCATGTCTCCAGAACAATGTAGCTGTATCTGTGCTGAGAGAGGAAGGGGCCGAAGTCTCGTCAAGCTGGGAAAGTCAGGCACAAACCAGAAGCATCCCATTTGTTGGGGGTGATGCTGGTGGTGGAATTCTAGGAATATCTGGGCATCTGTAGATGTTCCTGGAAGGACAGACTGCTCCCACTGGCTGCCTCAGGGGAGGCTGGACTTCCATGGTCTATCCTTTTGTACAGTGTGAGCTTTTCACAGGCTCATGTATCGCCTTTTCAGTAAATGTAAACAAATCGTGCTGCGGACATTTTTGAAAGGGAAGTTGTATCCTGTAGGCAGTTCCTGAAAGCAAAGGTGGCGGTCGGCGTTGTCGGCAGGGACCTGGTAGAGCTGAGTGGCCCTCTGTGGGGCAAGGGAGGCCGGCTTCTCTGACCTTCTCCGCCCTCCTCGGGTCTTTGTTTTAGCTCATCTGTCCTCGGGTCTGGGCTGCTCCCTGAGACCAGCTGCTGGCTCCCTGGGCCGCCCCCCCCGCCCCTCCCCCTCCGCCAGGCTTCCACCTCCAGGGGTCTCTATGAGACTCCTTCAGAAAGGTTAGAAATGGATTTTTGTCTTCTTTCTGAAGCCCACAGGAGAATCAGTTTACTTTCACAGAAAGCAACAAAAAAATCAGTGTACTTTAGGTAAATAGGGCTTTTCCATACACTGCAGCTTAGCCCAGTTGACTTCAAGGCCATATTCATGTTAAGAATTTACCAGCCTTTGGAAAGTCAAAACTGAGCCATCAATGAGCTCCTTTGTTACCTTCCACCTGAGCAGCTGAGACTACAACACAAGGGGCTTTGAAAGAGCCAAAAACACAGCCATAGCAAAATTATCCTGCAGAGAATAAAACTGCAACGTTTTACTTTTTAAAAGGAGATGAGGGGCGCCTGGGTGGCTCAGTCGTTAAGCGTCTGCCTTCGGCTCAGGTCATGGTCCCAGGGTCCTGGGATCGAGTCCCATATCGGGCTCCCTGCTCTGCGGGAGGCCTGCTTCTCCCTCTCTCACTCCCCCTGCTTGTGTTCCCTCTCTCGCTGTGTCTCTCTCTGTCAAATAAATAAATTAAAAAAATAAATAAATAAAAGGAGATGAAGTGAGGTATAGCTGCTGTTGGTGATCTTTAGACTCACGATTTGGAGAGGCTAATTGGTCAAAGTCCAGACCAAAGCTGTATTTCTCACGTGAATGTGGCACTTAAAGTGTGAGGCTGTTAGAAGGCCAGAGGGAATGCTAAAAAGCAGGACTGTAATGAGTTACTGGAAAGAAAAGCATCCTGCATTTAAATTTGTGCAAATGAATTGACCCCTCATAACCTCAATCTCCTCAACCGTGAAATGGAAATCATGAGGATACTTCCTTTATGAACCTGTTGAGAAGAGTAAATAACATAGTCCAGGTAAAGTGCCAGCAGATAATGAGATTCAACGTTGGAAGCCATGATGATTGTTTGCCTATTACGTGTCAGCCTGTGGTTTGTTACGGCTACCATGGCCTGGCCAGCCCATCTTGATTATCCAGGCATTACAGATGAGGAAGGTGAGGTTAAGAGAGGTTGTCCAAGGCCACATAATTGGCTGGCTTGCTCTTTCCAAGCCCAGTCTTTCTAAAAGATCCACTTTGGGCCAATCCTGTCATGCTGGGTCTGGGCCCCAGCTCAAGCCTATGTGTGTCTCCTCCCTAGCTGTGTCCTAGACTTAGAACTGACCTTGGAGATGAGTTCAGTGACAGATAGATGAGAAAATCAAGTTCACCCCACAGGTTAGCAACCAACCCAAACCAAAGTCCTTTGCCCTCTGGCCTTCGCCATCACAACCTAATGCCTCATACTGTTGCAAGGATAGAGCCCTTGCTACCTGAGATGTAGAAAGGTTTCTGGAAAGGACAGTCTTAACCATAAGTGCGCTAGTCACCTTGGGGAAACCGATCAAATGGTGGGCAGCATTTCCTGGACTGGCGCTTAGTAAGAAAATGTTCCATTCAGCTCCATCTTGAAGAGCCGGATAATTCAGAGCCCAGCATTTCTCTGGCCATCCTGGAGTTGGAGATGACCTCTGACCTCAGGGCTTCGCTCAGAGAGCTGAATATTAAAAGCAGCCTAGGAAGTTGAAGTTAACTGAAGTCGGTGGTATCTGAAACCAATGGTGACCTCTATTCCAGTTCTTCTCCTTCTGCATTTCCAGAAGATACAGACCCAGCTCTTCCATGAATTGGAGAGAAAGCTTCGTGAGAACACATCAATCAGACCAACACGAAAAGCCGTGCTTAAAGAGAAAAGCATCCCGAGTTGCTTTCCAACAGTAGCACGTGATGCAGTGCTTGAAGACTCAGTCTCCCCAAATGAAATCATGGAATTGTGAGGGTGGAACAGTAGTTTGAAGCAGAACAAGAGCAGGTTAAAAAGTTACTTTGGATAAAGCACAGCAGATGATGTAGATTTCCAGAGTGAATTCTTCCTGGTGTGTTCATGAAGCTCACAGGCAAGGGTGTTAATTTTGATTTCTTGGAGTTTGAATTAAGACTAAATAAACTATCATACACACATATTCACCCACGGGAGCATGCACGCACACATGAATTTGGGGTAGGGTTAGGGTTGGCTGGGTGGAATGAGGCCTCCTAGCAGAAATTGACACACAATTTCAGACAGGCTAAAAGATCTTGTGGGGCAAGCACAAGACTGAAATTCAATTCTGGGCATGACTCTGCTGCTTACTTGTCCTTTGTGGCCTCAGCTACGGTCATTCAGTCATTCTACAGGTTCCCTAGGCTGTTTGAGTGACAGATCTGATTACCCCACCTCATCTTTTCCTCCCCACAGATATCATTTCAGCTTCTCTAAGGTGTTGATGCCTCATCTTTTAAAATAAAGCAATGGGGGGCGCCTGGGTGGCTCAGTCGGTTAAGTGTCTGCCTTTGGTTCAGGTCAGATCTCAGGATCCTGGGATGGAGCCCGCTGAGTCAGTGGGGAGTCTGCTTCTCACTCTGCCCCTCCCCCCACTCATGTTTTTTTTCCCTCTCTCTCTCTCTCAAATAAACGAATAAAAATTTTTAAGAATAAAATCTTTTTTTTTTTTTTAAGGTTTTATTTATTTATTTGACAGAGAGAGACACAGCGAGAGAGGGAACACAAGCAGAGGGAGTGGGAGAGGGAGAAACAGGCTTCCCGCCAAGCAGGGAGCCCGATGCGGGGCTCAATCCCAGGACTCTGGGATCATGTCCTGAGCCGAAGGCAGACGCTTAACGACTGAGCCACCCAGGCGCCCCAAGAATAAAATCTTAAAAAAATAAAATAAAATAAAGCAATGCTATGAAAGCAGAGGTCACAAACTCTAGTGCCTGGAGAGATCTGATAGAACCATAAGTGAAAGCGGGGGCTGGGGGCAGGGGGAAACAAGGGGAATGGAGGGGACTTTGGCAAACTAGAGAGCTCAGACCAGGTTCTAAGAAGGTACCTGCCACTCTGCTCCCACCAAATTTATTCTGTTGGAGCGCCTGGCTGGCTCAATCGGCAGACTATGTGACTCTTGATCTTGGGGTTGTGAGTTTAAGCCTCCCACTGGGTGTAGGGATTACTTAAAAATAAAATCTTAAAAAAAAAAAATTTACCCTGTGGGACTGTGGGTCCAGTTTCGACTGATCTTCCACTTTTAAAAAAGAAACTGAGAATCTAGATATTTATGGGAAATATCTTGATTTTTTAATGTTAAGCTACAAATTAAAAAAAAATTTAAAAAGAAACAATTTTAAATGTATGCAGCCAAATAGGTTTATCTATTGGCTGGAATTGACCTTCTGGCTATCAATTTATACAATTAAATATTAAGGTTATTTCTAGCTCTAATTGCCTGCAATTCTAAACATTTGCTGGGTGAATCTTTGAGCAGATAGCTTTGACCTTTCTGGGGCTCTTTCCTTATCTGTGGAATGAGAATATTAATTCTTCTTTAGTCAATCCCACCACATTACTCTGAAACTCTATCAAGATATTGAAAATACCTTGCAAATTACAAGGCATGGCAATAATAAACAATTACCAGACCTTCAAGGGAAATGACCCAACCCAGAGAAGATAAATATCTAAGTGAAAAAGAAATGTCAGCAAGGTCTACAGGGCCTTACATGTGCATTCCAATAAACATTAGATCATACAAGCCAGAGAGAGACCTACCCTTCCATCCGGAGTCCTGGGACCAGAATAGGGTGGAGCCTCCCCCATCAGGACTGGCCAGACATCAAAAAATTCCTAGGAATGAGAAAGACAATAATTACATGTCTTGAAAATAGGTCAAAGAAAGGAGATTAAGAAAAGAAGACCCACCTATATGAGTGACCTATCACTGAAATTTGGAAGGTGGGAAGAACTCACTGAAAACTAAGCTTGGAAGGGAGGCAAAGTTCATTAGCATTAGAGGATGTTGTTAGAGGATGTTGATCTTGTCTGTGCTTCAAGATATTGATGAACTAAGCCTGTCTAATCATTCAGCAACAAATAGGAGCTGAAGTGGAAAACCCTCACGCTCCCCACACTGTGGGAGGGGACATGAGAAGGAAACTGGGCTCTCTATGTCTAAGAAATTGACCTTAAGGACATGCTAAGCATGTGACAGAAGGTTTAGCTAAAACGATGTTCTCTGCAGCATCATTTATAGTAGTGAAAAGTTAGGCACAACCTAAGTGTCCAACTAAGAGGGGACATATTAGACAATTATGGTCTATCTATTAACAGTAATGCTACAGATGTCTATATGTTGGTTAAAAAGAAGCCCTTGTCGCACTGATGAGTGAGAAATGTGAGGTGACAAAAAATATAGATCACATAACCCCAATGCTTAACTATACACAGAAAATGCTCTCAAAGAATTCACAACAAAGTATCAAAAACTGGTTTTCTCTGGGTAATTGCAGTGAGACTCTATTTAGCAATTTTTTGTAATAAAATTAATCGCTTTTGGAATCAGGGAAAAAATATCTTGCCTCAATAAGAAAGAAAAAACGATGGTGCCAAATATGGACATATAGACCCACATCTGGGCTCCAACAAGAAAGGATGACACCCTTGAGACAACTTTTAAAGATACAGGCAGGAAAGAGAAAGGGCCAGCTAAGGCATTGTATGGGCACACAGCCTCAGAAGAAGAAACTCACTGGGACACCGCACGAGCTCTTCCCTGCCACTTGTCTACTGGTTTTCCTGGGCCTGGCAGAAGAGGCCTCCATGCTTCATTGCCCTCTCTGTTCATTCATCTGTTGCCATTTAGGGATAGTGATCCATTCGTGCTGGGTCACTGTGGGTAGGATGCTAACTTCTGCTCTTGGCCTCTTTCTCATTTGGTTGGGTTACCCATTCCAACATGCAGAGCACAAACAGAAGAAAGTCCACATGAAATTCAAACTCCATGTCCTCAAGCTTCTGTGCAGTTGGACTCTTTGTCTTGACTACACAACAGGAAGAAATTCAGTTCTGGGGAAAAATGTGCATAGGGAGACTACCTGAGCCCCACAACATGTTTGCTGCTAGATATACAGAGATGAATAAGGCAGAGTTCACACCCTGGGGGATCTTGCTGTCTCTTGGAGGAGACAACTCAAGTAACTATAGTTAGGTAGGGTAAGACAGGGTAAGAACCAAACAGTAATGGAAAAAGAACACAAATGTTAGAGGAGCCCAGAAGAAAGACAAATACATTGGGCTGACACCCTGTGTCAAACACTGAGTGGCTTTGAAGATTGTCCCAGAGAGAAGCAGTGGGCTGGGTGGAAAGTGGGGCATATTTATGCTTGCCTTGCTCGCTCTCAATCTCTCTCTTTTGACTTCTTTCATGTCAATAGCTCAGATAAGAGCTCTGCCTACCTTGGACCTACCTGGCAGGTCGTTAGAATGATTGTGTGCAGACCAGCCCATTTCTAACTGCTAGATTGTTCCATCTTTTGGGGATGACTAGGCAGAATATTCTTGTTTAAATGTGACTTTCCTTTTTGAGAGGGAGTTCAGAAGAAATAGAGCAGAATACAACAACACACAGCAGCCTGCATCTGAGGTCAAATTCTTTAAGGTGTGAACTGGGCACTTTTTGAATTCAACTACTCGGAAATTCTTTTGATTACGAAAGAACCATTCATTTGTATGAATTCATTCATTTGCTACTTTCTGAAGGTGTGTCAAAGGACTTATTCCTGGACTCGGTGATATTTGGCAAAATATTTGGTTCAGAAGTATGCAAAAGTCAAATGGACATCTGCACTAGAATCAGAGGTTCCCTAACATCAGTACATAGCCCACCTGCACCAAAATCACATAAAGAACTATATTAAAAGCAAAAATCAGAAAAATTGACCCATGAGTATATGGAAATCTGGTATATGATAAAATAGCCTATCTAAATGGTGGCATTTTAAAACAGTGAAGAAAGGATAGACTATTCTTTTTTTTTTATTTTTTTTAAAGATTTTTTTTTTTTTTTATTTGAGACAGAGAGAATGAGAGAGAGAGAGCACATGAGAGGGGGGAGGGTCAGAGGGAGAAGCAGACTCCCTGCCGAGCAGGGAGCCCGATGCGGGACTCGATCCAGGGACTCCAGGATCATGACCTGAGCCGAAGGCAGTCGCTTAACCAACTGAGCCACCCAGGTGCCCAGGATAGACTATTCTTTAACTGGAGAAAAATGAGTCAGGGATAAAATTTATCCCTACCTCAAACCATACACATTCATAATTTCAAGATGAATGAAAGATTAAAATCAGAGCACATCAGATTATTTCAGATTATCTTCATCATATTAAGGCTGGGGAAGTCCTTCTTAAACAAAATCCAAAACTCGAGTGTCCAATATATACGGACACTTGATGATAGAGGTATGTTAGGGAAAGATGATATTTTCAATAGGACAGTGGAGAAAGAATGGTCTTTTCAGTAAATGGTGCTGGGTCAATTGGATATCCATATGGAAAAAAGTTAATATTAACCCTACCTCACACTGTACATTTAAAAAATTCCAGGTAGATTATAGAGCTACATGTGAAAGTTAAAACAATGAAATTTTAGAGTTAACACAGATGAATATCTTTAATACCTTGGGGCCAGCAAAGATTTCTTAAATAGGGCACAAAAATCAATAACCATTAAAAAAAATCAATAAATTGAACTACCTTATAATTCAGAATTTACATTCACTGAAACATACTATTAAGAGAATGAATGCACAGAGTGGGAGAAGGTATTTGCAATGTGTGTATTCCACAAGGAACCCATATCTAGAATATATAAAGAATGCCTACAAATCCTAAGATTTATTTTTTTTAAATCCTAAGATTTAAAAAGACAAAAGATTTTTTAAAAATGGAGAAGAGACTTGAATAGGTACTTCTTTTGAAGATATCCACATGGTCAATAAATGAGAAAAAATGTTCAACTTCATCAGTCATTAGGGGAATTCATGTTAATACCCAGTGAGATATCACCACATGCCCACCTGTATGGCTAAGATTAACAAGACTGGCAATACCAAGTATTGTAAGGAAACCCTCATACATTGCTAGTGGGAGTGTAAAATCATTTTGAAAATCAGATGGGCAATATCTATTAAAACCAATACCCAGAAATTCTACTCCTAGGTAAACATCTAACAGAAATGGGTACAACTGTGTATCAAAAGATATGTACTATAATATTTGTAATAGCAATATTCATAACAACCCAAGCCTTAAAACTCAAATGCCCATCAACAGTAGAATGAATAAATACTTTGAGGATTATTTATATAATGGAACATTCCACAAGAATGAAGATGAATGAATGAACGCTATGTGAAGCAATAAAGACGGATCTTACAACCAAAATGTTGAGCAAAAGGAGCTAGATACAAAAGAGTATATATTTGTATGATTTTGTTTATAGGAACTTCAAAAATAGGCAAAACTAACATGGCGTTAAAGGTGAGTGCTAAAGAAGCCCTAGGTAGGGTGAAAGCCAGAAAGAAGAAAGTTGCCAACTTCAGGGAATTCTCAGAAAATGCTCTCGAAGGTGGGCAGAAACCTTCCCCATGTTTGTCAAGCCTACAGCCCACCTGGGACTTCTTTAATGAACTCCCCCCTTCAGGGAGGAGGGTATGGAAGTTAACGGAAAGGGGTAAGCAAGGGGCTCCTGAGGTGTTAGTACTGTTCTATCTCTTAATCTTGGTGGTAGTTACATGGGGATGTTCACGCTGTACAAATCATTGACCTATTCACTTGCAATTAGTGCTTGCCTCTGTGTATATGTTCTATTTCAACACAAAGGCTTATTAAAAAGAATCCACGTGTACTGATGTGGAGAGATGTTCACAAAACATTAAGTAAAAAAGGGCGCCTGGGTGGCTCAGTTGGTTAAACGACTGCCTTCGGCTCAGGTCATGATCCTGGAGTCCCTGGATCGAGTCCCGCATCAGGCTCCCTGCTCGGCGGGGAGCCTGCTTCTCCCTCTGACCCTCCCCCCTCTCATGTGCTCTCTCTCTCTCATTCTCTCTGTCTCAAATAAATAAATAAAATCTTAAAAAAAAAAAAATTAAGTAAAAAAAAGCGACTATCAGGAAATATGGTCTAACATCTATTAAACAGTTCCTTAGAAGATTCTGATTCAAGTCTAGGAGCCTCTGGACTAGACCCAAGGTCTTTTCCAACTCCAGATTCTGCAGTTCTTTAATCATTAAACCAAATATTTGGAGGGTCTGCATTGGTCAGTGCACCACACTCAGCATAAGGCCCTACAAAATGAAACTGACAGGAATCCTGGATCTTGGCTCTTTGGGGTAAGAAATCACAAATCTAGATAACTCTAGAACTCTATTCCAAGGCAGAAAATGATTAGTTGCAGGAAGCGGAGACAGGTAGAGAAAGAAAAATGCGGGGAATTGGTTGGGGAAAACCTGGCTGAAAAATACTGCAGGGGGCTGTATTTGTCTGTGTGTCCTTTGCCTCTGCAGATCTGCCCCCTGAGCATCCAAAGGGACCAGATCCAAACATCTGCCTCTACTTTAACTGCCCAGATGGGCTGTGGGCTTGACAGACCATGAGGAAGGTTTATGCCCACCTTTGAGTGCATTTTCTGAGAATTCCTGAAGTTTTGGCAACTTTCTTCTTTCTGGCTTGCACCCTACATAGAACCTCTTTATCACTCACCTTCACCACCTCATCAAGCCTTCTCACATATGCTTTTTTCTTTTCCCACGGACCAGGGAAGACCAGGTTGTTTTCACTCACTTGTGCCCTAGGTCGACTTTTCCCCTTTAAAGGTTGGTACTCCACTCTTCAGTATGAAAGACCTGTGAAGACCTTTCGCAACCAGCCACATCCTCCCTGCCTCTTCCCTGTGAACTGAATGTGCGACACAAGTCCGGGTTCCACTGTATGTTTAACCTGTTCTTGGAGGGGTCTGTTTCTGAAGCCTTCTTACCTTCTGCTTGGTCATGTCTAAGAGCCCCACAGAATATCTGTCACAGTTGAGGAAGGCTCGGACTGTGTATAGGGCTTTGTGGAACTGCCTCTCGATGTCTGTAAGCTCTTCAAAGACTTTGCTCCCAGACCACAGCAATATCTTAACAAAACACAAAAACAGAGTCAAAGTTTCTAAGGCACAAAGCAGCGGCTCACAATAACCCAGAGACAGAGACAGGATAATTATCCCCATTTTACAGATGGAGAAACTGAGGCCCAGAGAGCTGAAGTAACTGACCAGCTTATATTGGGTCCAACTCTTTCCATTTCTTTCATTTCATAAATTGTTAACAAGAATAATAATAACGAACATTGATTGAACACAAGTGCATTATCTCATTTGCTATTGACAATAATTTTTTTGAGGGTGGAACCAATCAATAATAGCCTCACTTTTCAAATGGGGGACACTGAGGCTCAGATAGAGGAAGTGATTTGCCCAGGGTCTTAGAGTTGGTAAATGACTTAATGTTGGTAAACAACTTAATCTAAATTGCCTGACTTGAAAACTATGCATATAATCCCTCTGGGATACAGCTTTACAAACATGGCTACCTCATTAGCACTGGGATGCTGGGCAGAGACTCCATGATGGTTCCCAGACACTTTTATCAACCACTGCCTTTCCAACCTGACTACATCAATGCATCAATAAAAAGACATGCCCAGTCCATTCCCTTGAGCCAAGCCCTTTACCTGGCCACGCCGAGTCTCACAGTTGTGCAGGTAACTCAGGTGGTATACCTTCATGATTAGATTTGCAAAATTGAGGTACTTGAGAAGAATCTAGAAATCAAACAGCATGAGGGGAAATAGATGAGAAGGAGAAATCCCTCCTCTGGCCACTTCTGCCATCAGCAAATATTTGAATATTTTAAAAGCAGCAGAGGCGATTTGAGCAGATGGATCATGGAATGCTGACTCATAAAATGGTGCATTGTAAGAGTGTAAAACTCATAGAATGTAGAATGTCAATGTTCATAGGACGTATTAATGAAAAATTGCTACTATTTATTGAGTTTGCAGTCCCTGTGATAAGTCATTTAGGTATGTTATCTTATCTGATCATCACAAGTACCCTGAGAGATGGATACTGTAAAATTAGGCCCATTTTACAGATAAGAAAACTGAGGCTTAGAGGTGCCTGGCTGGCTCAGTTGGTAGAGCATCTGACTCTTGATCTCAGGGTCCTGAGTTCCAGCCCCATGTTGGGTGTGGAGCCTACTTAAAACAAAAACAAACAAACAAACAAACAAAAAACCCCTGAGGTTTAAAGAAATTATGTAACTTTCCCAAGTCAAACATTTAGGTATTAGCAGAGCCAGGACAATTATCCCTGTACTCCTGGCTCCAGAGCCCCACATCCTAACCATTACCCTGTCCTGTCTCCCTCAGAGAGCATCACACTAATACCCTTATCTTACAGATGGGGAAGTCAAGGCCAGACCAAGTAACAAGGTTCAGGGGACTTCTTGAGCTGGGACACCTGCTGGCATGACCACCCCAGCAGTTTCTAAAGCATTCTTACCTCCTCATCTGTCTTGGTGAAGTGGGGCCCGTCCACTTTATTCACAGCCATGATTATGGCCACCACATCCTTCCCATTCATTATGGGGGAAGCCAAGATGTTCTTGGTCTGGTACTCTGTGAGGGTGTCCACGAAGTCACAGAAATGCTCATCCTGAAGGAAGGCAGAGACAGGCATGGGTGAGCAGAGGAAGAGCAAAGATAGTAAAACAGCCCAGAGCCCCATGTGCCCCTGGTAGGAGGTGGGAGGAGGGGACACGCTATTATCTTTTGAAAAGAGAATGAAGTCCTTTCCATCGACTTCCATTCAGCAAGGGCAATGCAATCAGGGGTGATTTCTGCCCTGGAAGCCTCCAAAATCCAGGAGGAGAAAGTCTGATTTACAACTTACTAAGGACTGTGGAGGAGATGCAAGCAAAGCTCTGTGGGGGCCTGAGGATGGGGGGGCTGACTTTGAATGGGGAGGGGGTTTAGAAATAGAAACTTGAGTGAAGAAAAGACTTTAGTGAGTATAATAATCACAATTGCTAGCAGGTTTCACGTGTGGTGCTTTACTTATATCAGCTCACTTTAATCCTATGAGATGGGGACTGCTGGTAGCCCATTCTCTGCAAAGGGAAACTGAGACTCCAGAATGTTAATGTGACTTGCTACGTGTATGTGTGTGTGTGTGTATGTATGACTCCAGAACCTGCCCTCAGCTCTGCTGCCTTTAAGGGAAGCCTTGGTAAGGTTAGACCTGAGTTCAGGTCATCCAACAAAAGAACTTGGTACTTCCAGCTTTTTGAGCAATTCGGTTCTAGCACCACACAATCAGTCCAATGGATATCCCTCTCTCACAGGTCTTAATGGAAGCCCCGTTGTGTGTCAGGCCTTACGCTGAGTGCGAGGGATACAAGGGAGACTAAGGCTCAGGCCAACTCATAGACAAATCAATAATAGTAATACAGGACCTAAGGCTCGGCTCAAAGCTGTGGGAGTACAGAGGAGTACACATCCCGGCACCCCACCCCTAAAGCAGCCTGGGAGGCCAGCCCAGGGCAGAAAGAGGAGACAGAGCCTGAATTGTTGTCTTAAATCCGAAAGAATCCACCTTTCTGTTTCTTGGTAGCACTATGAGTTTTCCCAACCATCGGCATTGCTTGGGACACAAGCCAGCCCAAATATGCACAGTTCATGCTGTTCTGAGAAAGGAAGTGTATTTCATAGAGGCGATTCACACAGCTTTTCTAGAATTGAGTGTGCAGAACCTTTCCCACGATAGAGAAATGCAGAGCATGATGCTCCGAATCTATGGATTTCTTCTAGTCAGGGTAGGATTAGACAGGCAACAACACTGTTGTCAGTGAAGGTGTCTCAAACCAGGTGAAGGGTACAGGAATTAAGAGAAGCCTGTAGAGCTCTACTTGAACTAGCATCTGAGGATTAAGCAAAATCTCTGAAGAGGCATTAGTCATGAAGCGTTTCTATGTCATTCTCTAAGGACACTGATAAATCCCTAAACCCAGGCCTGGGTGGGGCATGCTTGGATTCATTTCATTAAGCCGTTCTGTCTTGCAATATTCACTTCTATCAAGGAAGACAATACTTGGGCCTTACCTGCCTCTGAAACAGATGTTACTAAATCCACCAGAACCCTCTTTTCCACTGAGAAGCCCCAGAACTCTCTCACAAATAATACAGCTGCCAGCTGACTGGTGTTCGCACAATCATTGCCATCCTCATACTTTCAGCATAGAAAGTATTCTACACAGCCATGTCACAGAACCTCAGGTTATCAGAAGCAGGGGGGCCTTAGAAGCCATTTAGCTCAAACTGTTTATTTTAAAGTCCTGGGAATCAGATGCCCCACTTAGGGAAAGCCCAGAGTCATTCATTCACCCAGTGAGCATTCATGGAGTGCCTTATGCCAGGCACTGTTCTAGACCCTGAGGCTGCAGCAGTGAACAAGGGAGGCTTCTCTTTAGAGGTGATGCTGAGAGCTGAAGTTTCAGGGAAGCCAGGTGGGTGGAACGCATTCTAAGCAGGGAGCACAGCGAGTGCAAAGGCCAGGAGGGGGCAGTAAGTTGGCCCATCTGAGAAACAGAAAGACCAGTGTAGCTGAAGCAGAGTGAGGGAGAGGGAGAGTGGAGGGCAAGGAAGTCCAACAGGTGGGCAGGAGCCCCATCTGGCTGAGCCTCGGAGGCCACTGTGAACAGGTTAGATTCTATTCCAATGCAACGTAAGACAGCTTCTCATTCTTGGAAATCCCAGTTCCTCTTTTCAAACCTTCATGGTGTCAAGCTCCTCTGTGTCCCATGGTGAGATTTACTGTTTATGGAGCAATAATGATATACGCAGCCCCGAGCCTGATGACTTAATCTGTTATCTCATTAACTCTCACATCAGCCCTGTCACATAGAACCTTCCCTCTTCTGTAGACAACTCCCTTGCTGACAAGTGGGACAGCCATTCATTCACTGGTTTATATACTGATACACTGATTGATTGATTGATTCATTGATTCATTCATATTTACTGAACACAGGCTCTGTGAAAAGCACTGGATATGCCAAGACCAATAAGAAGGAAGAGGCTGTCCTCACTGGGTTCTCACAGGGCAGTGGGAACATCATGTAAAACATGAACCCACAATTCAAATCATAATGTGAAGGATGTCCCCACAGGATGGGTGAATGGGGGGAGGGACTTGTTCTCTGAGGCTTCAGGGGGTCAATCAGTATATTATCAGTAGTTGAAGATTCTCTGAGCCTCAGTTTGCCCTTTGGTAAAATCAGAGTGTTGGACCGAGTCCTCCTTGAGGCTTCCTTCCAGTCTAGCATGGTAGGTTCCGGGTCTCACGTACAGGGAAGGACAACAGCTGTGAGAGTCTCTGGAAATGTGCTCTCAGGTTCAGTCTTCAGAAATGGGAATTGTCATGTGTTGGAAAAACTCCCTGTTCTCCTTTCCTCTCACACTAGTAACACACTCACATCACTCTGACACCAGATATTAGGTGTCTCTCCCACACTGACCACTTTTCTGACACCAGCTGACCATCCAACAGTTCAGTTGAGTTCTGACACCATCTGTCGAGAGTCAGCGTCAGACCCTGCAGGTAAGAGTTCAATCCCACAAGACTGTCCCCACTTCAGATGCCAATCACAAGTCCCAGTTGGTCACCTATACTTCTGACAGGCTGGCTAGAGCAGGATCCCAAGACCCCCCTCCTTGGGTTCAATAATTGGCCAGAACAGCTAACAGAACTCAGGGAAATGCTTACATTTATAGGTTTATTGTATGATAAAGGACATAATAAAAGATACAGATAAACTGTCATGTGAAGAGATACATAGGGTGAGATCCAAAAGGGTCTTGAGAGCAGGCACTTCTGGCCCCTAGAGTTGAGGTGTGCCGCCCTCCTGGCATGTGCCTGTGCTCACCAACCCAGAAATTCTCTGAACCCTGTCCTTTTGGGGATTTTTATGAAGGCTTCATCACATCTGCATGATTGATTACTAGCTCCATTTCCAGCCCATCTCCTGTTGTCAGAGAATGGGGAGGTGGGCTGAAAGTTCCAAGTTTCTAATCATGGCTTCATCTTTCTGGTGATTGGCTCCATCGAGGAGCCCGCCAAAAGTCATCTCACAAGAACAAAAAACCGTCTACCAGACAGGAAATTCCAAAGAATTTAGCAGCTCTGTGTCAGATGCTCCTATCACTTAGGAAATGGTAAGAGTCTTAAGAGTTCTGTGTCAGGAACCAGGACAAAGACCAAATAAATATTTCTTTTTATAAAGCACAATATCACAGCCAACTGGCAAGGGTCATCATTTATTAATTCATGCAATAATCTGTAATAAGGACCCACTCTGTCCCAGGTGAATAAACCAGACAGAAACAGGCAGGCTTTGTGGGCTTTCCTAAGGAGAAAGGAGAAAGAATAAAACACACACAAATATTGAAGGGCTAGTAGGGTTGCCAGATTTAGCAAATAAACACAAGACGCCTAGTTAAACTTGAATTCCAAGTAAATAAATACTTTTTAAAGTACAAGTATATCCTAAATATTGCATGGGACATACTTATACTAAAATATTGTTCTTTGTTTACCTAAAGTTTAAATTTTACTGGGAATCCTGGCTCCTAATGGCAAGTTTCCCTGAGGCGATCCCTAGGTTGAGCAGGAATTTGCTAGGACATGGGGAGTTATATTTCAACCCTGGGAAACTTCTTCATTCATGGTTTCACATTTCAAAAATCCAGTGACTGTAACCATGGCCCAAGTGTTTTGAGGGTGCTGAAGGCTATCACTTGTTGATGGTGCAGGGTCAACCCAGACCTCAGTCTATACCATCTTCCTCGTCCTTCCCCCAGCCTCCAGTCACTATCCAGAGTCCCAAGTAGAGCAAGATTCCTCAAGGAAGGGCAAACACAGGCAGATGCTGATTACCAGGGCTTGCTGGCCTGGACGAACTTCACCCTGGCCTGAGTCACCAGCCAGAGACTGACCCAGGCTTGAAAGCTTCCAGGGAAGCTCAGGCATTCCTTCCAGAGTGAACTTTGGGTTTGAGCAGGAAATAGCAGGCGTTCCCTTAGCATAGAGGCTCAGCAAACTCTTAGACGAGGGTACGTCAGCATCAGAGCACCTGCCTACATCCTCAGTCCCTCAACACCAGGATCGACAGAAACTCTTAGCACCTCTCTTTTGTTTTTCCCACCAACAAATTCTAAACTGAAAGCTCCAGAAGGGCAGGACTGGATTCTTCTCCAAATCCTACACTGACCTGGTACAGCAGCCACCCCTTAGAAAAGATCCTTAACAACAGAAGAGTAATAATAACAACAAGGAGTGGGAGCGGCCAATAGCAGTCACTACAATGTGCCAAGAACCTTGCTAGACGGGAAATAATTTGCTCCTTTGATCCTACAACAACACTGCGCAGTAGGTATTCTCGCCCCATTGCCCCATTTTATAAATTAGGAAGTGAGCCCAGGCAGACTCAACAATACACCAAGGCACTATTCTTAGAAAGTCACAGAGTCATGATTCACACCCAGATGTGACCTCAAAGCTTAACCTCTTCATTCTCTGCTATATGATTTAGAATGACCACTAGGAAACAGCATCCAGTCCAATGCCCTCATTTTGTAGATAAGGCAGAAGTACAGAATAACAGAGCAGTGAAAAGTGTGGGCACAAGGCCAGAGTGCCTGGGTTCAAATACCTGCTCTGTCACTTTCTGTCAGAGTGGCTCTGAGCAAGTTATTAACCTTTCTGGGTTTTAGTTTTACCACCTGTGAAACAGGGATAATCTGTTACGTTATAAGACTGTGGCGATCCATGTGGGCTACAATTAAAGTCTAGAGAGAGTTGAAGGGAGAACAGACTCCAGTCTAGTTTAAAGCCCCCTGAATGCACAACCATCCTCCTACCCTTGGATGTCCAAGGGGAAACAGGGAAAGATGAGCCCCATGGGAGATCCAACCCAGTGGATTTAGAGAAAACCATCTCCCACAGAGGTCGAAGTCTGTGCTTCTTATCTTGCCAAGGAACCCAAGTCAAAGCAAGATAAAAGACAATCCGTTCAAGTTCCTGCGTTTGTGGTTTGGAAGTCCTGGCCTTGCCCTAATTCCTTGGTCACTTTGGGCAAGCCCCTTCTTGAGCTCTCCTGACTCTAGGCTCCTCAGCCATTAAATAAGGCAGATGGATGAGATAATTTCTGGAGCCTCCTCTCTCCCCTTTTAACCTTATGACTCTTAATCTGAAATAAGGCCAAAGGTAAGGCGAGCATAGTCACAAAATGTCCAGGCTGCATCTTGGAAATGCCTGAACACAGGCTCCTGGTTTGGTCAGTGCTGCTGACCAGGCTTGGGCCCTGCTATCATGGGGCAAACATTCTTTTGGGCAAGACAGGGGTTAAAGGAATTGAGTATAATTACCTGAGGGTGAGTCTTTTATGCCAAGTATTGACAGAGCTTCTGCTTTGTGCCACACATTTGCTAGGATAAAGTGGAGAATAAGGCAGGCATGGTCCCTGGCCCCCAGGCTTATTATGATAAATGGTTTTAGGAAGGAAACTGTGACAGAGGGATCTGGGAGGGCCTCCCGGAAGAAGTGACCTATAAGTTGAGATCCAAAGGATAACTAGGAGTTGGCCCCAGGGGCAGAGAGCCTTGGGGGGATCTGTATGAAGTGTTTTGTCCTGGTGATCAAAGAGGTCTTTATCAGAGCTGCCAGTAGAATCCCATGGAAAGCTGGACTCAGAAACAAGAGCCAAGCGCTTAACCAAGTGGTCCTATTAACATTTCCAGTAATGAAACACACCGCCATCATATATCTTCTGATGTAATGCACAAAGATAAACACACCATCACCTCTAGGATACTCCTGATAGAAACGCACGACCTGAATCTAATCATGAAGACACAGACAAAGCCCAAATGGAGGGACACTTCTGCAAAGTATTTGGCCTGCTCTCTTCAAAAACCTCAGCATCGTGGAAAACAAGACAGGCTGAGGAACTGTTTCAGATTTGAGGGGACTAAAGAGATAGCGCTATCTGGGTGTAATTGAGGCGAATGGCAAAAACTGAATCTGCACTGTTTATCAGGTAATAGTATTGCATCAATGCTACATTTCCTGAATATGTATCCACAGTGGTGGCTACATAAGAAATGTCCTTGTTCTGGAAATACACAACACATTGTCTACTCTTGACTCCCAAATGGGTCAGAAAAAATGGAGAGATAAAACAAATGTGGCAAGGAGTGAACAACTGGTGAATCTGGATGAAAGATACATAGTTGTTTGTACTATTTTTAAACCCTTCTGTTAGGTTTGGATTTTTTCCCCAAATAAAATGTTATAAGTAAATAAATTAAGAGAAGTGCCAAACTGTGACCAGCCCAGTATTAATGGCTAGCAGCTCCCCACCCCACTTGCACCCCCCAAGACCCCAGGAATAATGCCTCCCTGCCCCCCATTCTTATGGGGAAGAGGATACCTCTTCTGTGTTGAGGACGTTGGTGACCTTTTTAGAGTGCGCGACGTGACCCACCACACCCATGTCCAGGGGGAACACAATCTCCGAGTCGGGCACCACCAGGCATTCCTCAAGAACAGCATCCTTGTGGACGTTGAAGAGCCGGGTGGCTAGCTCTGCGATGCCATTTCGGGCCCTGTACATGAACAGGCTCATGCGGTCTGCCCGCAGGAGGAAGCACAGCTTCTTCATGACGTTGAAGATGCATCTCTCCATCTGCAGATTTTCCTGGAAGTCCCGCAGGAGGTCGAAGATGATTTCACTCTCCTCCACGCTGCTCAGCGAGTGGTAGTTGCTGAAGTCCACGGCTGCCTCCTTGGCCCCCAGCAGATCTGAGATGACCTTGGCCCGGTAGCGGAGGTTGTAGTACCGTTTGGCAAACATGATATTCGAGTCCAGGAACTTCTCCACCTGCTCCGCCGTCACCTCGCCCATGGCTGGAATCCCACTGGCTACTTCGGTGGAGAAGTAGCTCCAGCTGGCCTTCCCAGGGAAGGTTTATAGTTCGTGGCAAGACGGAGTCGGGAGGTGTTTCGTGTCAAGCTGGGCTTCTATGGGTCTGGCCTGTAGATCTCGCCGCTATGGCTGCAGAGGGGAAGGAGAGAGCTCGGGAGATTAAATCATTAATATTCCCCGAGAGCAAGGATTATGAGGATAAGAAGGTTCCAGATGCCGCCAGGCCCCAGATGGGAGAAGGTGAGAGTTTCCTTTTCACCTTGGCCTGAGAGCTGAGAAGGGATTTCTAGACAGAGCAGGAGGTGGGCAAAACTAAAAACAATCCCCAAGCAGAGACTGCCAAACGGGCAGCGCAGGGACGACCCGCTATTGTAGGTGTGTTTTTCTTCAACGTTTGACACAGAAGACTACCTACGCTGTTTAGGAGATTTGTTCAGCTGCTCTTGGAGAATCGGAAGATCTAACAACTCCGGGCCCACTTTCCTCCCTGGCAGGCATGGCTAGAGCTGAGAGGGACTGCCTGCCCGGCTCCCATCCCCCTGCCCCTCCCCCCACCCTTCTGTGCCCCCTTTCCCAGGGCCTCCCCAGAACGGCCTCACCGCGCCTGCTCACCATTCAGCCTGCTTCCCTGTGTGCATTACAGGTCTGGCACCTACAGGCCCGATTTCAGAATCTGCCTCAAAGTCTTTCCCAGCTTTAGAAGTCAACGACCCTTTCATTTTAGAATTCCAGCGGCCCTCCTAAAAATAACACCGCTGGGGCGCCTGGGTGGCTCAGTCCTTAAGCGTCTGCCTTCAGCTCTGGTCATGATCCCAGGGTCCTGGGATCGAGCCCCGCATCGGGCTCCCTGCTCGGCGGGAAGCCTGCTTCTCCCTCTCCCACTCCCCCTGCTTGTGTTCCCTCTCTCGCTGTGTCCCTCTCTGTCAAATAAATAAATAAAAATCTTAAAACAACAACACTGTTCACATTTTTTCTTTTATGACAAAAATACATGTTCACTGTAGAAAATACACAAAGATCATTAAAATCACCCATAATCTTGCTACTCAGAGGTAACCTTTAAGGAGCATTTTTGTTTCTGTCCTTTCTGTAGAGGCTTGCTTTTAAAATCTGTTTCCCTTAAACCTCCCTCCCCCACCGCCCCCATCTTTCTCTTGGCACTTTAATGTGGTTTTTTCTGGATACAATCTGTATCTTTTTGGATTGTCAGTCAGAAATGCACACGTAGTGTATCTGCTCTCGGCTCTTTTTGAATCTTGAAATACCAGAATCTTCCCTGAAGTACCCTCTAGTACACTAGGGGAGGAGAACATTTTCTTTCTGATGAAATGTACTTTTCATTTCCGTGAATATACCTGTGAAAGCCTGGTGTCTCTATGTTGTAAATACTGTGGAATACAGGCTAATAGACTGTTGCTGGCACCCTGAAATTTGCCAATGAACTTCAACGGAAAGTAGATTACTTCCTTTATTGTAGTGTGTCCTAAAGTCTTAGAGTATTGTGCCCAATCAGCACCGTGTTCACAGGTGACTCCTTGGCCTGGCAGGCCATGCAGCAACCTGAATTTCTACATTCTCACCATAAATAACGTGAGCCCTCTGTCTGGAATGCTCTTCCCCAGCTCTCTGCACACCAGCTCCTTCTCAGCTTCAAGGTTGCAGCTCAAGCTAGTAATCCCTTGTCACCTTATCCCGAGTAGTACCCTCTCCAGGTCCTGCCTGTCACATCATCCTATTTATTTCTTCTGTTGCATTTATTACTATTAGAAATGATCTTGTTTGTTTTTCGTTTCTTTGTCTGTTGTTTGTCTTCACATCTGTACTGTGAGTTGCATGAGGTGGGGACCTGCCAGGACTGATTCCCTAGGCCTTGCAGTGCTGCCTGGCACATTCTTGATGCTCAGTAAAATAATTGTCTTAACTGTAAGTCTGGAATGGTTAATTTCATATGCCAACTTGACAGGGTAAGGGATACGCAGATAGCTGGTAAAACATTACTTCCTGGTGTGTCTATGAGGGTGTTTTTATAAGAGACTGTCATTTGAATCAGTAGGGTAAATAATGCAGATCACCCTCATTAGCGTAGGTGGGCCTCATCCAATCAGTAGAGGGCCTCACTAGAATAGAAAGGTGGAGGAAGGGTGAATGTGCCCTCTGCCTAAACTGGGACATCCCATCTTCTTCTGCCCTTGGGTGTTGGCACCCCTGGTCCTCAGATTCAGACCAGGACTTACACCTTTGGCCCCTTGGTTCTCAGGCCTTTGGACGCAGACTGAATTATACCAGTGGATTTCCTGCTTCTCCAGTTTGCAGACGGCAGATTGTGGGACTTCTCCATAACCACGTGAGCCAATTCTCTAGAGAACCCTGACTCATACAAAATAAAAACCCCTATATATTCTTGAGTACAATTTAGAAAAGACAAGAAGACACAAAGGAAAGATATTGAAATTAAATGTAATCCCAGATATTACCATTGCAATAATTTTTGGATATTTTTAAATATATGGAATATATAAATATATATTCTCCAGGAAAATATTAAAATATATATTATTTATAAGATTTAATATATATTTTAAAGATTTACGTATAAATATAAAGAATACATACATATTGTCAACCTTGACACTGTCAACATTTTGGGCCCAGTAACTATTTGTCGTGGAGACTATCTCATATATTGTAGCATGTTCAGCAACATCCCTGGCCTCCACCTACTAGACTAGAATTCTTCAAGTTGTGACAACCAAAAATGAATCCAGACATTTCCAAATGTCCCCTGGGGTCAAAACCACCTCTGTTGAGGGCGCCTGGGTGGCTCAGTTGGTTAAGCGACTGCCTTCGGCTCAGGTCATGATCCTGGAGTCCCTGGATCGAGTCCCGCATCAGGCTCCCTGCTCGGCGGGGAGCCTGCTTCTCCCTCTGACCCTCCCCCCTCTCATGTGCTCTCTCTCTCTCATTCTCTCTGTCTCAAATAAATAAATAAAATATTAAAAAAAAAAAAAAAAAACCACCTGTGTTGAGAACCACTGCTCTACAGTTAGACATATAGGTTGTTTGTAATTTTCTAGTATTATAAACAATGCTGTAATGAACATCATTATATTTCTTAGTAAAAATACCTAGAAGTGGGATCCTGGGCCAAAGAGCTCACAGCTCTCTAATCATTTGGATAAATAATGCTACTTTTGCTCTCCAAGGCTATACCAGAGTATATGAGACTGTTCTTACCCCCACTCCTCCCCTCAGAAGGTAAGCAATTTTTCTTAATCCTGGCATTAACGCAGAATGTGGCCCTAATACTCTTTCTGCCGTGTTTTTCACAATTTTTCAACAAGAACTCTACGCTCCACTCTAGAGGATCCAGGGAGGAGGACAGAAGTATAGGTTATTATAAGAAAGCCACACCCAGGGACGCCTGGGTGGCTCAGTCGTTAAGCGTCTGCCTTTGGCTCAGGTCATAATCCCAGGGTCCTGGGATCAAGCCCCGCATCAAGCTCCCTGCTCAGCGGGAAGCCTGTTCTCCCTCTCCCACTCCACTTGCTTGTGTTCTCTCTCTCACTGTGTCTCTCTCTCTGTCAAAAAAATAAATGTTCATTCTTTCTGGTTTTTGCACCTTCATTCTTGCTGTGCCTCTGCCTGTCCCTTCCACCCAGTCCAAATGCCATTCCTTCCATGGATTCTTCGATGCCCCAACTAAACTCTTTTCCTGTTTGGAACCCACAAGCTATTGGTTTCCTTCCATTTCAATGGGAGTTTCTACATTCTAGGCTATATTACTTCTGCACATCTGTTCTCTCATCAAACTCAAGCTCTTTGAAGATAGAAGTAAAACTTTATTTTTTCTTAAAATCTCCAAAAAAGCCCAGCTGAGGTGCTTTCTCATAATATACCAACTAGGCTTAGTTGCAACTGGCTTAGGAAGCAACTGTTCTGCAAGAAATCTACTTTTACCTCATTTTTCAGTATGCCAGAATGAGGAAATCAAGCCTGTTGAAAAATTTCAGTTCTAATTGTTGGGTAGGTACAGATCAGCTTATATTTGCAGCAGGTGACCTCCTAACTTGCTTGTAGGCCTGATTTCAGATATCAGCGGAAGGAAATCTCAAGTTTCTTTCACTGGGAACAGGGGCTAATAGTAGGGTTAGGAAAAATTTTTCTCTGTAGTCTAGTCTAAAAAAGAAACACATACTAGAAAGAAGAAAACAGGACTCTAGGCCCAGAATGCCACTGATTCATTCTGTGACCTTGAAAAAGTCCTGTCCTCTCTCAAGGTTTTGTTGATTTCCCTATCCATAAAACATCTAATAATGTGTCCCAAATACTCCAGGATCCATGACTCCAGATGGGCTCAGAGTGAGGGAGGACTGGCCAGGAATGGCTGATCGATCCATTCCTGACCACAAGCCTTGCTAGAGGATTCTTCTGAAACAATAGCTGGAACTATTTACTTAGAATAATCTCTACTCCAAGATCCACATTTCATGGGGGAAGAAAGTGAAAAGTTTTGAAAGGTTAGGTGACTCGTCATAGGTGACTTAAAATTTTTTGAAATTGAGATATAATTCATAAAAATTCACCATTTTAAAGTGTACAATTCAGTGGTTTTTAGTATATTTGTTATGGTATGCCATGGCTAATCTACTTTCTCATCTCTTGGTGACCACTAAGCTATTTTCTCTAATGGTTTGTCTCTTCTGGACATTTTATATAAATGGAATTATACAATATGTGGCCCTTTGTGTCCAACTACTTTCACTTAGCATAATGTTTTCAAGGTTCAACCATGGTATAGCGTGTATCAGAACTCCATTTCTCTTTACGGCTAAATAATGTTCCACTGTATAGATATACATATTTGTTTATCCATTTATTAGGTTTTAAAAAATCTATTTATTAGTTGATGGACATTGGGGTTATTTTCACTTTGTGGCTGTTATGAACATCCACACACAAGTCTTTATAGGGACATATAT